CCGTTTTTTGGCTTTCTTCTACATAGCTCTCCAATCCATCTTTACTACACCTTAGAATTACTTCTGGCTTCGTCTTTCGTCAACGGGAAGAATTCTAGGGAATGTTGTGCTGCAGTGCTGCAGTGGATCTAGGATTGTATGCATGATACATATTGCATTGTGGCACATATTCATGTTGTTCTTAAGGAGCTATTCTTGGTGTCTTCTCTGGAATAATATTTAATGGAGACAATATTGTTGGTACTAGGAGTTGGTCACGGGGTCGTCTGTGCATTCAATCCTGGTGTCGTCTGTGCATTCAATCCTGGTGTCGTCTGTGCATTCAATAATGGGGTCGTTTGTGCATTCATTGTTTTTTGGGCTCACAGGCATGATAATGGACTCGATGTGTGGTCACATGTGTCGTGATAAGTGTGCATGCTTCTTGGAACGTGTTCTTTGTCGGCGGTTAGCCAGAGGTCCACCCAATGTTCAAATGTCGTTTTGAGGAGAAACAACATGTCCGTGTCAATCTTGTAATAGGGCTTTTAGACAACCCTTGTAAAGCATCCTACGCGGGAGTGTTGCCCATGGAACGCACGTTTGATTGGAGCTACTGGCAAGCACTAGGCAGCTCTGCTCAAGGGCTTCCTACCTTGAGTTGTGCTGAGCGAGTGTCCAAGGATTCTTCAGTGTAGACAAGTAGATTTGAAGAAGGCATTTCGTCAGGGGTCTTGAGTCTCCTTCTGTGCGTGACTTAAGCATCATTTCTCAGTCTCATGTGTTTGATTTTCCTCTGGTTGGTGTGATGTTTGCAAGAAACCCTTCTCGAGATGCGAGCCAAGGCCAAAAGCCTAAATCCTAAAGCCAAACCCAAAAGCCTAAAACCTACAGTAACCTAAAACCTAAAGTGATGCAAGCCAAACCCAAGAGCCTAAACCCTAAGCCCAAATCCAGAACCCTAACACCTACAGTGATACGAGCCAAGGCCAAAAGCCTAAATCCTAAAGCCAAACCCAAAAGCCTAAAACCTACAGTAACCTAAAACCTAAAGTGATGCAAGCCAAACCCAAGAGCCTAAACCCTAAGCCCAAATCCAGAACCCTAAAACCTACAGTGATGCGAGCCAAGACCAAAAGCCTAAATCCTAAAACCAAACCCAAAAGCCTAAACCCTAAACAGTAACCTAAAACCTAAAGTGATGCGAGCCAAGCCCAAAAGCCTAAATCCTAAAGCCAAACCCAAAAGCCTAAACCCAAAACCCAAAACCTAGAGTGATGTGAGCCAAACCCAAAAGCCTAGATGTGCCTAGCCAAACCCAAAAGCCTAAACCTTAAACCCAAACCCAGAACCCTAAAACGTACGGTAACCTAAAACCTAAAGTGATGCAAGCCAAACCCAAGAGCCTAAACCCTAAACCCAAATCCACAACCCTAAAGCCTACAGTAACCTAAAACCTAAAGTGATGCGAGCCAAGCCCAAAAGCCTAAACCCTAAACCCAAATCCACAACCCTAAAGCCTACAGTAACCTAAAACCTAAAGTGATGCGAGCCAAGCCCAAGAGCCTAAATCCTAAAACCAAACCCAAAAGCCTAAACCCTACAGTAACCTAAAACCTAAAGTGATGCGAGCCAAGCCCAAAAGCGTAAATCCTAAAGCCAAACTCAAAAGCCTAAACCCAAAACCAAAAACCTAGAGTGATTTGAGCCAAACCCAAAAGCCTAAACCTTAAACCCAAGCCCAGAACCCTGAAACGTACAGTAACCTAAAACCTAAAGTCATGCAAGCCAAACCCAAGAGCCTAAACCCAGTAACCTAAAACCTAAAGTGATGCGAGCCAAGCCCAAAAGCCTAAACCCTAAACCCAAATCCACAACCCTAAAGCCTACAGTAACCTAAAACCTAAAGTGATGCGAGCCAAGCCCAAGAGCCTAAATCCTAAAACCAAACCCAAAAGCCTAAACCCTACAGTAACCTAAAACCTAAAGGGATGCGAGCCAAGCCCAAAAGCGTAAATCCTAAAGCCAAACCCAAAAGCCTAAACCCAAAACCCAAAACCTAGAGTGATTTGAGCCAAACCCAAAAAGCCTAAACCTTAAACCCAAACCCAGAACCCTGAAACTTACAGTAACCTAAAACCTAAAGTCATGCAAGCCAAACCCAAGAGCCTAAACCCTAAGCCCAAATCGACAACCCTAAAGCCTACAGTAACCTAAAACCTAAAGTGATGCGAGCCAAGCCCAAAAGCCTAAATCCTAAAGCCTAAACCTTAAACCCAAACCCAGAACCCTAAAACGTACGGTAACCTAAAACCTAAAGTGATGCGAGCCAAGCCCAAAAGGCTAAATCCTAAAGCCAAACCCAAAAGCCTAAACCCCAAACCCAAAAACCTAAAGTGATGTAAGCCAACCCCAAACCCAAACCCCAACCCCCAAACCCTCTGCTGTGGTGGGCACTTCCGGGATTGAATGCGCGAATGACTCCAAGATTGCGTGCGCAGATGACCCTGCGGGATTGAATGCGCGAATGACTCCAAGATTGAATGCGCGGATGACCCCACCACCCTAGGAGTTTAGCACTTGCATCCTCATGTACACTCTTTTTGTCCATTTTAATTCAATATGCATTGCTATGATTATTACCTTTTCCCCAATGCATGTCTTAGGATTTAATGTGCCAAGGAGAATCCCATCCTTTCCAGCTCCTTTAATTCCTGGAACCTTTCTATTGGATCAGGAATAACTGTCCTATCTGTTTAATTCTCTTGGTGTCCTTCTTCCCTTTCTACCACCGCCGTCTATCTCCATCAACTTCCGGATCTTCCCGGCCTCACTTGGTCCTGGGCAATCCTTGAAGGCGGAAAGAGATGTAAAGGAGTTAACAACTCCTGTAAAGATAGGATGGGAGGAATAGAGTTATTAACTGTCATTCCATTCCTTCCAAGATTCCCAATTCCCTTTATTTGAGAATATGTTGGAGGGAATTGGTCATTTCTTCCCTTTCCATTTGTCACCTCTGTTTTCAAGGTTTAATTGGTGAGGTGGCATGCAACAGAAGAAAGGAATCGGGACCAGCCCGTAACCGAGAGAAGAGGCTGGAGGATTGGTCATGTCACTCGCTTCTGCGTTAGCCAAGCACGTGGAAGCGACATGACCAGGACATGCAGAATGAAGCGATACTGATAGCCTCTATGTAAGAGATGATTATCCTTGCGAGGCCCATTTCATTCTTGGCTCTCATCCCTTGCCTTTTGTCCAGTCTATCCCGCGGGTTGCCAACTACTTTGCTAACTCCAACACCATCTATGTACCCCAACAGCATCTTGTATGAAACGCCCTTCTGTGGCACTTGTTCAGGGCAGTTGATGGTTTCGGTGCTCCTTTCCGGGCATGTGGTGCACAGGCACGCCTGCTGCTCTAGGTTGGCGAAATAGTTCCTTGCATTTGCATGCTAAATACAAGGGCAAACTATTCCCAGTGGGTAGCATGAATTCATGACAGCCAAATAAGCTGTGCAGAGGTCCTTTTGCCCTTGCCTGGGTCTCCTCCAGAAGTATGGTATGTGTTTCGCCCGATTACAGAAGCGGAGAATGTGATTTTCTGTGTGCCCCGGATGTGGGGCAAATTGCGCACGCACTGAGGTGGCAGAGCGGTACCGATTGCAGGGGGAGATCGGATCTGGATCGTACAGTGAGGTCTACCTGGGTGTCGACGAGCAATCAGGCGAGGTGCCACCGGTTCATTTGTTGCTTTTGTGTCAAGGATGGAAGGCCTTCAGAGAGATCGCGCAAGAACCATGACGTAAATGTGAGGGTGCCCTTTTGAAAGAAATGTTGCTTCACCATGTGGATACACAAAAGTCACTCTCAGTTATGAGGCATGATATCCAATGTCTTCCCACAAGGATGTTGTGCTGGTGCAGTGAGAGTGAGACAGAGCCATCTATGTTGTGTTCATCATGATCTCAGCTACTGTCGAGATGATTCGCTCAGCGGTTTGTGGCCTCCAGGAGCAAAAACAAGAGGGCTTCCTTGAGAGGCATTGCTTGCCTGTGCTGGCATCCTTGGAACTTTGGGAAGGTGGGGTTAAGTCGGTCAACGTCTAGAGTCTGTGATTAACTTGGGTTTCGGGACATGGGGCTCACTCCATTCAATGCAACAAAAAGGTGGACTCGGTGTGACTCAAATTTAACAGCTATGGTTATGCAGGTCTTAGACTTTGGTTCCATTTACCAAGGTGCCATGTTGGTACATTTATTTGAGCCACAGCCGACTCGCTCATTGTTCCTATGTCCATAGCATGCAGCATGTCGTGTAGGTCCTGGGGATAGCCCAAATCACGTCAATGACAGGCCGGTTGGTTTCCGTTGTCCCTTCCGATGGTTCTAACAGGTGACCCCGTCAGTATGGAGCCATGGTGCAATGGCTGCGTTTGCCGTGCGTCAGGAGGTTGTGTTGTCTCCCATTGGCTCTCTGCCGCTTCTGGCCATTGCCCACCTACCCTGCTTGGCATCCGCGCGTTTCAAACGGGAACTGAAGGCCATGTTCCCCCATTCTCAGACCAAATGATTTGTTTTGGCGCGCTCAAGCGACGCGAGGTGACAAAGTTGCCATCAAAGTGGCGCGGACCTCAGCGTGTCTATGTGGGATGAGTCGTTGTTTGGTCCGTGTGGGTCCAAAAGGGAACCCCAAGAGGGGATGGGCCAATGTGGTTGTGCTTGGTGCTGTTTGGTTGTTTCTTGTGACTTGCTGGTTGTTTGTTGGTTGTAACTGCTATCTACTGGCGGCTGAGGGAGTGTGAAGCATGTCACTATTCAGCCAAAGAGATAAAATGTCAATGCAAGAAGGGCTGGTAACGAGCTGCTTAGGCCTTGTGCTTGACTCAACATCGAATTTGTTGGACCCACGCGCGACCTGCCTCGTGGGCACGCAGGATACAGCCTTGGGTTTCACTGGAAATGTTTTGCCCTGGTGTTGCGGTCCTTTTTCTGACGCCATCGAATTATCAAAATCTTCCGAGGAATGGCAACTCGCGGAGAAGGGCAACAAGTTGTGGTGGCCTCAGCGCGTCCCACGGGGTTTGTGTTTCACCGGATGGCAGCTGAGCGTGGTGCTTCCGAAGCCACCGAATTTGGATCGAACACTGTGTGCAGGGATAGTTTTCGGACAAAGTGTTTGTTGGAACTGATCAGAAGTCATGGGCAGAACTTCAGACCGAGTCGAGTGGTCCACGTCAGGTGCTTCAGGTGATGGTCCACAGTTCTTGCTTCTGCTTGACGGGGCTGGGCAAGACTCCCCTACGACTGTGCGCCCCAAATTGTAGCCAAGCACAGGGCATGGTCCCAGCTCGCAGGTTTGTAAAAACGCTGAAATTGTTGTCGTAGACCCTACGAGAATCTGATGGACACTCAAAGCGTGGTGAGAAGCTCGGGAGTGTCTGCCTGTGCACACGCAAAGAAACACGGTCTTGAAAAACAATAGCAGATTTAGCTCCCCACGGGCTTTTTTTCAGTGCCAGCCATGATGCTTGGGCGTATGTAGCAAATGACGATAACCCCGTATGTTCAATGCTTGAGGCCGCGTATTTCCGTCGATTTGTTACCGGAAGGAAAACGAGCGTTCCTTTCAGTCACAACTGTTGGAGGTCTTCCCTTTAGTTTATAAGCAGTTTCTACGCCAGGCCGTGTCAAGGTCATATTTCTTGATAGTATGGGCTAGTGTCTTTGAATAGATGGAGTGGCTGAGGCAGCAGACAGCCGATCATAGCTTGATCGTGTTGCGCTCATGTCAGAATTTGCATCGAGCTTTGGCGATAGCCCGCAGATCCGAACTCTGGATGGAGGTCATCATATTGTTCTGTCACATCGGATTGTTCTGTCAAGTATTTCATGCGTGAACATGGGGACAGGAATGGAAGCTATCGATACATGTACGTGAAACTTACGTCGCCCTCACTGTCAGAGGGCAATTGATTCTCGGCCAAAAAACGGCTTTTTGGTGTCCTTCTGCTTTGTCTCTAACATCATGGCTTTGCCAAATTTGACTCGATCTGAGGCTTGGAGAAGGAAAGTTCTACGAGGCTTTAGGGCTTCAGAGCGGCGAGGCAGGGCAAACTTGTGACAACTTGACTGTCAAAATCTGGCAGTTGAGATCATGTTGCGGTCGTTTTACGGCCTCTGCTTGTTTTCACCAAACTGTGAGGAATGGAGGCTGGCAATCATGTGCCAGCCTTGGCGCCAAGCCGGTTTGGGCCTTTTGGGCCATGAAGTTGCCATTGCGGAAAGGCTTACCACAAGGGAGCAGTAAAGTGAATGTTGCCATGGCGTCAAGCAATATCAGGTATGGCGCCTGCAAATTGTATTTAGTTTAGATGGAAGCTTGCTTTAAGACGTGTGTCAAACGAACAACGGCCCTTGCCTTGCGTTTACCGCGAGGCGCCCCACATCAGATGCTTGGCGGAAAGCAACGCGATAGATTCGCTTGGCCTGGCATCAAGCGAGCTGCCATTGAACAGATTGCCAAGGGTGCCAGCTGAACCTGGTTCCTTTGATTTCCTTCGGCTTTGTGTCTCTTGAACTCACCTCGCCTACAAAATGACTCCGAAGTTGAGCGTGCTTCTTTTCGCTAAGGATGGATTGGCACCCAGGGTGAGTACAACCTCATGGTTATGGACCTGTTGGGGCCATCCTTGGATGCGTACTTCAAGCATTGCCGCCTGGTCCGATTGGCTCACGTCGGCTTACAAGCACGGGACACTGCCGTAGCCCATGTCGCAGTTTGGGAGAAGCAACAAGTGATAGAGTATTCAAGCAACGGAACATGCATGTTGTTGCAGTGGTTGACTTCAAGTAGTTTGGCATTTTGTAGCGACCTTACCCGAAGAAAGCAAGATGACATATGATAAAAGTGCTTGGGGGGATTGCTTATTTCAGGTTGGCGGGTTAGTACCATTCATCCAGATCATGTGGGAATGTGTTAATATTAGGCGTCTCTCCAAATCATTGGCTACATGTCGGCTTCTGTTTGGCCGAAAGGAATCCTTTGTCATACGCCTTTTTGATCCTAAATAATTGCAGCCATCCCACTGAATTGCGTTGAGCAGGGCTCCCGAAAAAAAAGGGCTAGGCTCCAGCGGGTTGAGAGAAGGGCGAAACCGTGCCAATGTTTACCCCGGATCAAGAAAGCCCTGGTTGATTCATAGGGGATGTCCCCTAGTGGGGGTTCAGACCACCTTTGGAGGGGAAAGCCCATTTCTTACCCTCTTTCCAACAATCGTGGAAGTGGCTAAAAGGAAAGTAGTGTTCCAAAACCCTCCTGTCAGCTCCCAGGTTTGTTGCAGGGGGGTAAGACGGCGGGGTTATTAATCGTATTAATCCGGGGTCAACACTACCAGCAAGAAAGTTTGGGCTTGGCTCGTGCAAATCTTCCTGTCTTGAGACATGGCGCATGTGGCACAGGCAAGCAGTTCAGCTTGAAAACGACCCTCCTGCTGTCCGTCCAGCCACCAGGCTGAAAAGCATGGCTCGTCGGTTGGGCTTGGGCCGGCTGAACTTTTGTGTGTTTGTTTTGAGGGTACCCTTGGGTGTTAGAGGGACACCCATCAGAACCAACCCTTTGTTCAGGGGCTCTATTTGGAAGGAAGGTTGCACGTCTCTCAAAGCAATCTGCGCCGGAAAGGCTAGAAACGTCAGTGGCTTACTTCTCCCCTCAAGGGTAAGGGTCAGTCACTGCGAGATAAAGGCGCGGCCCTCCTTTTGATGCTTTACAACGTTAGATGCCCTCAGTGTCAGGGTTTTGTTGTGACTCGGATGAGGTTGACCTGTGCCCATAATTTCCAGTGTGTGGACTTGTTTGGTGAAACAGGGGTGTCTTGCGGCCAAGTTCCATTTGCTACAGCCTGAACCGTTTGGTGCTTTCGCCGACGTCTCTCCTCTGGGGCCAATTTGGCTCAAGTGTTGACTCCGTTGACCCCGTGGTTACCCTCGGCACGGTCTCGGCTATTGTTTTCCAAATGGAACACGCCATGGATGCGGCCATGGATGCGACAATGGATGCGGAACAAGATACCAAAATGGAGGGCCCCATGGACATGGAAATGGGGGTAAAGGTGGAAGTTCCGGAGGAACCCTGGGAGAGGACGGCTGCCTCTTGCACTGGTTCCTCCCAGAGGGAACCCGGCAGGACAACGCCGTCCAGCTGGCGCAAGTGGAGCACTCAGGACGAACCCGAGCTGCTTCAAGCGGCGATTCTGCTGCAGGAACCTGTGAACTCGGAACTTCTCCAGAGAAGGACTGGCGCTACGTGGACACGGAGCACTTCTGCGCACCAACCGCTGCGGCCTTGGTGGCCTGGATCCAGAACAAGGTAGTGGAGAAAGCGGTCCCCCAGGAAGTGTGCAACGGGGAGGCCTGCAGTTTTTTTTGATGGTAGAGCTTGGAGTAGGACCCCCTCAATGCCTTGACGGAACTGGAACTTTGGCACATAGGTGGGACGCGAGGAACGAGTGCTGATCCGTTCCAACTGGGACGGGGCTGATGAGATGGTGAGGGCGAACCCGGACAAGCCATTCATTCACCTCACGGAGTAGCGGAGGTGTCTCTGTATGCCGCCTACAGTATCAGGACACGGACATCTGCGTGCTGCAGGCTCATGATGGGAAGAAGGGCGGGCATTTTGGTGTCTCCCCAAAACGCGTCCTTGCAAGGGGCAATTACACCTGACACCTCGAGGGTGAAGTGCCTCCTCCACAGCCAAAAACTGTCTTGCCGGTGCTGGCGGCGCGCGCCACTTTGAAGTCAGCCACCCCGATCGAAGCGCTCCGCCAACAAGTGGCCGTAGCTACTGCTGGAGTTACCGGCCCAGGAACAGAAGCGATCGGTCGTTGCATCTCTCCACCATGTCAAGAGATGCTACAATATCTGGGCGAACCATCTGACTCATTTGGTTTTCGCTGGCTTTGATCCACAAAACAGCATCAAATCTCTGCGCGCGATCAATATGCATCCTTCTCCCAAAGCTTTCTCTCCACTTGCAGGACCAGGACAAGACTGGGTAGGACCCTTCAGGCATGTGGGCGGGACCACGGTTGCCTGACCGATGGACCAATCTCCTTGGCCCGGTTGGCTGGCAAACCTTTGGTCGGGGACCTGGGTGGTTAACCGCTCCTGCGCAGGCTCGGGTTATGGATTGAAATTGACATGCCGGCCTACGGGGTCATTCCCTGATTTTTGTTGCTCCGCGTGACCCGGACTGACGGTCTAAATCGATTAACACAGATACGCAGACACGCGCGGACAGGGGTATGAAAACACCCTTAGAAGCAGACCCAGCCGGCGACTGGGTTCGCTGCACTGCCTGCCTTCAGTTTTGGAATGTTTTATCCACCTACTCGGCCTCGGGGAAAAGATCTTGCTGCGTGCGAAGTACTTAGACACGCACACACACGCACACACACGCATATATATATATATGTATATATATATATATGTGTGCAAATACATCCTCCAAAGTGCTGCGTTTGCCACGACATCTGCACGTGACCCTCCAAAGTACTGTGCCTGCCGAATCAGCGCTCTGTGCTCCAAAGTGCTATGCTTTTCACGAAGGTGAGCTTGCCACGAACTCAAAATCGTCCAAAGCACCGCGCCTGTCACCTTTGACACGTTTGCAACTCGTATCGGAAATTAGCACGTGACTGCGGCGCCAGAATGATTTCAACCGATTTTAACAAACATTCAAGCTCAGCCGGTCACGCAGCTGGGCCAACAAAAAATGACGCTGGCGCAAACGCTTGCACGCGTATTGCAAGCAAGACACCTCAAAGCGACCACCCCTGAAACACAAATCGCAGTGGCACAGCGACGCAAATGCACGACCTCCCAAAACACTGCACCGGTCCAGCAAAACGACACCCAACCTCGCAGCACCTGCGATCTACGCATGAAAAGCACCTCTTGCAAGTCGTGAGAATAGCACGTTCTGCTCCGCGCGTTTGCCCTTGGCAACGGCTTGTTGTGTCCTCCTCGTCTTCGTCCTCGTCCCCAACGGCAAAGCAATTTTTCCACCTGCGGATTATGGCGGATGCTTGCGGATCTTGCGGAATGCGACAAAGACAAGGGGGCAGCTTTGGGCGTTGACACTGCTTCTGAGCTTTTAGTGACTGTGCTCGACAGAAAGAATGGGGAAGAGGTGGAAGAGGTGTGTGTGTGTGTGTGTCGCCAAAACAAAGCCACCCTGTATCAATGTGTTTTTGAAGGTCCCCGTTTCACCATTGTTTACAGTCCAAAGTCAAACCAAGAGAAAAACAACTATTCTTGGGGGTGCCCCTATTTTGACGTATCCCCATCTAGCCCTCGTTGATGAACAGGAAGATGTTCCATGGTTGATAAATCTGGTGTCGGCATTGGTATGGTCATCCTCATGCCCTGAAGCTGAGGATCCTCGACCGCCTGGAATATGTACACAACCGCGGTATACTGTACCGCGACATCAAGCCTCCAAGCCGCACAAAGCTGCAAAGCCCTGCTCATGCTTGGTGAGTAGCAACCAGCACCTTGTTGCCAGACGGAAAGATCAGATCTGGATATGTTCCATAGGTTGGTTTCATCACGCAAGCAACCCGCAAGTACGTTGACCAACTTCCACCCATCAGAACCCCCCTGCCCCACCAAGCTCTTCCTCCCAGTAGCCCTCCCCAACAGCCTCCGTCCTCCTTCTGTCCACACCCACACGCACGGACGCCAAATCGTGTCGTCCTGAGGCCCCACAACTTTTTGATGGGAATCGGGGACCGGCAGCCGAGACTCGCGGTCGCTCGCTCGGGGACCGTCAAGTAAGAGTGGATGGAAGAACTTCCCGCTCGAAAAAACAGGCTCCACCTTTGGTAGTTTCTTCCCAGTCATTTCTAAACTAAAGGCCTGCTGCAGAAGCGTTTCTCGTGGACAAAGGTTTGGACTCACGGAACGGCACATGCTCCAGGAAAACTGTAGTCGTGCACTTCAGGGTGACCAGCTTGAGAGTGCCTAGCGAGGGAAGCGTCCGGAAAAATCCCGCAACAAAAAAACACTTGAAGGCTGAACCTCGCGACGTTGTGGTTTTCATGGTTTATTGCGAAGGTTTCTGTCCAAAGTTCGAGCTAGGAGTTGAGCCAGGACCATAGCAGCCGAGTCTACATTGTGGACTTCGGATTGGCGAAGAGCGCCTCGGAGTTGGCTCTATCCTCCCGGTCCCTTTAAAAGGGAAATGGTACTCCGCACCCATTGAGGGTCAGGTTCCATGTTAATTGGTGAGAGGGTATATGTCCAAATATCTCAAAATGGGTTACCAACCCAAAACTTGATTTTCCTCTCGGTTTTCCTTCACTCAAAAAGGATACCGAGCCTCAAAGCAAGCACCCTTGTGCCAGATGGTGGTTTTCCTTGTAGTGGAGCGCCACCACGGATTCGCCTTCGGAAAGTTCCCCAAGTTGACCAACCCAGACCACGACCCCAGTGGCAGCTTTGTTAGAAGAACGACAGTTTGAAAGGGTTGAAGAAAGGAAAGCAATAAGTATTGTTCATGCTAGAGAATCTGCAGAGGGGATAATTGTGGGGCATGTTCTCAACTCCATTGCAAGCAGCGAGAGGATGCGAAGCTGCTGGTTTCGGGCTAGAGCTTGAGGGAGGTTCTTGTTCGATACATAGTGTAGGTTTCTACTCTACTCATTTGGGCTTGTTTCATGAAGCACTGTAGACGACGAGAGTCGGAGATTTCCGGGATCGAAATCCCTTTCAGCTGGTTAGCCGGTTCGCCCAGGATATGTGGACAAACACGGGAAGCGCTGGCCTCAGCTTCCGAAACGATGTGTTCAAAGACTTTTGGTTGACTTGTTTCAGGTTAGGCTCTGCGAAAACCGCGATACTTGTGGGCGCTGTGGCGCGCAAAGAGTACGGATTTCACAAGGGAAACAAGTGCAGCTGATGTGTTTGAGTGGACGGTGGAATTCTCTCAAAGTAGTGGATTGACGAGTGTGAGCTTCCCTAAACTGCACTTCTTGAAGGTACACACCAGGCAGTTATGGTCGACTACTTTTTGACCTGCAGCCATAGGCATCACCGTCCAATCGCCTGTTGACGTAGGATGCTTTCATCCCTTGGAGAGGGTCTATGCATAGCCATTACAAGGAACATTGCAAGACAGCCCGATTTTGGTGCATTTGGGTTTGTCCAAAATTAGGGGATCCAAAAGCTTGAATTGTATCCTTAGCCATTTTTCCCACAGTACCGACTTCAACAAAGGCGCCGCCCATTTCTTTCTTGTCGAAAGCCAAAAGCTCGCCAGCTGGCAGTTGAGGTCTGTTCGAACTCGGAAGCCAAACCTGTGTAAGACATGCTCTGTTTTTTTTTTGGGGGGGGGGAGGGGGGGGAGGGGCATCTTCCATGGCTCTCGTCCTTGGGTTTTCATGGACCCAAGGCATATCGCTTGTGCCACAAAGAAGAGGAGCGGAGTCACCGGTGCCTTGGACCGAGCGATGGGGGAAGCACAGGCGTGCCGTGCCGTGCCCAAATGGTCAAAGGAAGCTGAAGGCCAAATGTCGGGAATCTCAGGAAATGGGCGCCTTTTCGAAAAGACCAGCCTGTGTGTTTTGTTTGTTTCGCCTTCCCAAAGGCGCCTCAAAGCGGAGATGGTGGGGAGGATGACTTTTACAGCTGATAGCACCAAGGTAGAACTGCCTTTGCTTGCTGACCACCAAAAACGAGCTGGGAGAAGCACCGAGCAAATGAACTGCTCTTACAGCATGTGCGGGAACAGGAGCCAGAGGGCTACCTTCTTCATGCTCCAATGGATTCCTTGAGCAACGCGATTTTTGCAAGAGCACGGAGCTGTCCCAGCAAGTCAAACTATCAATTGCAGGCACTTAAGATGGGAGAAAGAAAAAGGCTGGTGTCCTTCAAGAGCACATTGGATCAAAATTCCACTGGCTTCAGCTTATTTCCAATCATTTGCCAATGGTATCGATACTTCCAACAGAGACATAAAGGAAAAAAGGCCGTAGCCCATTTCGCCCTGCTGCTCGCTCTGAGGAACGGTGCGGCCGCCGCCTTAGCACAGGTCGCTTCTGTTGGTGTGGAACCCCACATTGACGATCAAGAACGACACCTTCAGTCAGAGAGCACGGCAGGTTAGAAGAAGATCCATTTTCAAGCCTTCTACAAGTGCTGCTGAGTGATAGAGCTGAGAGCACAACATGACATCATTGAAGTTTGATGAGCAGCGCCGATATTGTAAAGCAGCACAGCACAGGACTACACGATAACAATGCCTGCTGCTGCTGCTGCTGCTGCTGCTGCTGCTGCTGCTGCTGCTGCTGCTGCTGCTGCTGCTGCTGCTGCTGCTGCTGCTGCTGCTGCTGCTGCTGCTGCTGCTGCTGCTGCTGCTGCTGCTGCTGCTGCTGCTGCTGCTGCTGCTGCTGCTGCTGCTGCTGCTGCTGCTGCTGCTGCTGCTGCTGCTGCTGCTGCTGCTGCTGCTGCTGCTGCTGCTGCTGCTGCTGCTGCTGCTGCTGCTGCTGCTGCTGCTGCTGCTGCTGCTGCTGCTGCTGCTGCTGCTGCTGCTGCTGCTGCTGCTGCTGCTGCTGCCCTGTCGGTGTCGGTGTCAGTGTCAGAGTTGGTGTCGGTGGTTGTGTGTTTTGCAGTTGTTGTTGTTGTTGTTGTTGTTGTTGTTGTTGTTGTTGCTGCTGCTGCTGCTGCTGCTGCTGCTGCTGCTGTTGTTGTTGTTGTTGTTGTTGTTGTTGTTGTTGTTGTTGTTGTTGTTGTTGTTGTTGTTGTCGTTGTCGTTGTCGTTGTCGTTGTCGTTGTCGTTGTCGTTGTCGTTGTCGTTGTCGTTGTCGTTGTCGTTGCCGTTGCCGTTGCCGTTGCCGTTGTCGTTGTTGTTGTCGTTGTCGTCCTCGTCGTCGTCGTTGTCGTCGTTGTTGTCGTTGTCGTCGTTGTCGTTGTTGTCGCCGTTGTCGTCGTTGTCGTCGTTGTCGTCATTGTCGTCGTTGTTGTCGTTGTTGTCGTTGTCGTTGTTCTTGTTCTTGTTATAATTCTTGTTCTTTTTCTTTTTCTGTTTTTTCCTCGTTCTTGTTGTTGTTGTTATTGGTGTTATTGTTGTTGTTCTTGTTGTTGTTCTTGGTGTTCTTGTTGTTGTTCTTGTTGTTCTTGTTGTTCTTGTTGTTGTTCTTGTTCTTGTTCTTGTCGTTCTTGGTCTTGTTATTGGTATTGTTCTTGGTCTTGTTCTTGTTCTTGTTCTTGTTCTTGTCAGTGCTGTTGCTGTTCCTGTTCCTGTTGTTGTTGTCGTTGTTGTTGTTGTTCTTGTTGTGGTTGTGGTTGTGGTTGTGGTTGTGGTTGCTGCTGCTGCTGCTGCTGCTGCTGCTGCTGCTGCTGCTGCTGTTGTTGTTGTTGTTGTTGTTGTTGTTGTTGTTGTTGTTGTTGTTGTTGTTGTTGTTGTTGTTGTTGTTGTTGTTCTTGCTCTTGTTCTTGTTATTGTTCTTGTTCTTGTTCCTGTTATTGTTCTTGTTCTTGTTGCTGTTGCTGTTGTTCTTGTTGGTGTTGCTGTTGCTGTTGCTGTTGCTGTTGCTGCTGTTGCTGCTGCTGCTGCTCTTGCTCTTGCTCTTGCTGCTGCTGCTGCTGCTGCTGCTGCTGCTGCTGCTGTTGTCGGTGTCGTTGTGGTTGTTGCTGTTGCTGTAGGTGTGGGTGTCGTTGCCGTTGTCATTGCCGTTGCCGTTGCCGTTGCCGCTGTCGTTGTCGGTGTCGTCGTTGTTGTTGTTGTCGCCGTCGTTGTTGTTGTTGTTGTTGTTGGTGGTGGTGGTGGTGGTGGGTTGCTTATTGTTGTTGGTGTCGTGGTTGTGGTTGTTGTGGTTGTTGCTTCTTGTTCTTTTTGATATTATTGCTACTATTATCATTATTATTGTTATTGGTGTTCTTGTTTTTTTCTTGATGGTCTTGATAGTATTGTTCTTGCTTCTTGTTCTTGTTGTTCTTCTAGTTATGATCGTTATTATCGATCCTGCTGTTCCTGTTGTGTTTGCCGCTCTTGCCCTTGTTCCTGTTCTTGCTGTTACGTGTTATTGTTGCTCTTGTTGTCGTTGTTGTCCTTGGTTTTTTGACTTTCTTGTGATTTTTGTAGTTCTTGTTGTGTGCGTGAATATTCCGATTGTTTCTTGGTTCTTGTTGTTCTTGCTGTTCTTGTTGTTATTGTCGTTCTTGGCGTTCTTGGCGTTCTTGGCGTTCCTGTCATTCTTCTTGTTTGTCTTGTTCTTCTTGTTCTTTTTCTACTGCTTGTTATTGTTCCAGTTATTATTCTTGTTCTTCTTCTTTTCTTTTCTGGTGATTTTCCCGGAGCGAGTCTCAGCAAAGGGCCACATGGGCCGGATTCTCCGACTCCGTCCCAAGGTATTCCAGCATCAATGTGCATGAGGGCAGCGATCCAAGTCGCCGAGATGATTTAGAAGCTACAGGCGGGTTGCCGTGGCCCTTCTCTGGCTGGTTTTCTCACCTGTGAATTGTAATTGGGACCCTTCAGTCGAGGTAAGAAATGGTTCGATTTATGTCTAACAGCCTAGTTTGGTGATCCTGCTGGGTTTAGCTGGTTGGCTGTTGGGTTGGCTGCCTGGACCCTTTTGGTCGGAGTGGGCGAAGTTGGGTGGGTGGACTGCAGTGGGTTGTTGCACCTGTCACGTTGGTTATTTGCAAGTGGCGATTCGACGCACTGGCAAGTTCCGTGGAGCCCTCAGCTACGACGTAGGCGCCAAGGATTAGGGCTTTAGGCTCTGGTTTCGTAGGTTTGCCTCACATAGATGGAACTCCTTTTGGGATGGGAAAGGAAGACTAAACGGAAATTGACCACCTGCAAAAGGATTGCTCCTTTTGGGAATGAGAAAGCCTGCACGCTGACACTGACACGGGCCGACGTTGCCAAAATGCCACGATGGGAATGTGGATTCACTGGTTGAGAATATAAAGTTCTGAAAAATAAAACTGTCTTGGGTGAAGGTTTTTTTTTGGTGTCACACACTCAGCAAAAAGTACCCTGAACAAGTGCACACCAATATGTCTCAGTTATTGTTCGACAGTTTTCGGCTGGATTGCTTGAGGATTAGCAGTCCGTAGAGGCAACATGCAACATGCAACATGATGACCCTTCATTGGCAATTTTTGGTATGGGCGGAGTTCACTTAGCCAGTTGGGCCGTCACCTATGGTGGAAGGATGCGTCAAAATCAGTTTGATCCCTTCCCCCAATGAAAAGCACCTTCCAAAAAGTACACAACGCCCGCCACCAACATGTTGGAACAGCTCGAAGTTTGAGTCTTGGGAAGGTTGAGTCTTGGCAAATATTGATTGCAAGAGGATGCTAACACATACGTTGTCACTTTGGGGTTGGGGAATGCACTTCACTGTTCTGATCCTTTTTGTCCGCGGGTTTGGTTCTGTTCCTTTCTTGATGGCTTCAGCGTTTGGCCAGGGACTGGGAAAAGTTCTGAGCATGGTAGAAGACCTGCAAGTGTTGACGCTCCCCAATTCCACTCCTCAATTCAAGGAAAGACAATTTGTGGTGGGGGCTATCCCCCCTAGAAAAACAAATGAGGACAAGACCCACATCAGGTGAGGCAAAGCTCTCCACTTTCACCCTGCACATTGAACTTCCTCACTCAGGCCCCAAAACTCTCAGCTGTTGGGACCCTCAAAATGCAGATGTCAGGAATGATTGTGGGGTCCTGTTCGGGATCAAAGATTGCAATGGTCGTAAAATTGCATCCCCAGGGGGGGGATGCAGAATGAGCCCTGTTTCACACGGACTGCAAGTCCCAGGGGCCCGCCTAGAGCAAGTCGGCAAGTCAGAAGCAGGCTACATGCTGTTGCATTTCCTTCGAGGCCCGCGTTGCGGGGGGCAGTTTTGGGGGCAATGGCAGCTGCAAGATGGATACTCTCAGTGGAGTCAACTCTGTGTGGTTGGGTTTCTACCAGGTGTGACTTGCACGAGGACTTTCCCACCAGCAAGTGTACTGTGTTCTGGCTTGTCAGTCTTGCCATACATGATGTTGCTTGAACAGTCCCGTTCACGCATATTTGCAATATCGGGCAACCCGCTCCATTGCAACCTTCTATTCCCAAGTCCAGGTGTCCCTGAATTGTTCGCAACTAATGTATGGTCTCTTTCACGACCAAAGTAAAATGGCCGCAACTTTGGCCACTTGCCAGTACCAAGCCCCTCAGATTTACACTGTTACACCGCTAGGCCTTCGCTCGCGACCCTTGGAGCCAGCAGGAACCTTTGATTTGTCGCTGCAAGGAGGTTGCGATGTCTCCAGAGCAAAGCATCGCATTCGTGCAGTCTTGCAAAATCATGAAGGGCCTCTCCAATGAATCTGACGTGAAAGACAAGCTGTTCCGGCGGGGGGGCACTGACAAATGCAACTCATGGTTGATCGGGAAAGGTCATTGTCAGAAATAGTGGACCTCATTGATGGGCAGGAAGCCTGGCAAGCAGGCACTTGGAAAGGGAAGGATTCAGAAACTGGTATTTAGGAAAGGTGCACACACACACACAAACATATTCGGGTGAGCTCCAGTTCAAAGTCATTTGGGTGAGCCGGGCGACCCCAATCAGTCCCAACCCAGGCGTTCTACAAATAGGATGCTAGACACTCCATTGTAATTAGTTCGATGCAAGCCAAAAGCTGCTTGATAGAATCCTCCTAGTCCTAGAGTCCCAAGAGTGAGAGGCATCCAACTCTTCACTGCTTACCAAATGCAAACGTTCCTGTGGTTTGCCCTAAAAGGGTGGCCCCCAAGAATGAGAGCAAACCCAGGACCCCCGGTTCTTGTTGGCGAGTCGTGATCTTGGCAGGTTTCCTCCGTTTCCCTTTCTGGAACCTCCAAAAGTTGCAGGTTTAGTGGAAGCCACCAGTAAACTGCAACTGTTGAAGGGGAATCCAGTGCCCCCGGCAGGCGACCTGCCTTGGCTGGGGCTGAAGGCGCGATCCAAGAAGTCCAAGCACAAAGCCATCGGCAGCGGGGGATCCCAGCAACGAGCTGTGATCTACTTGTGCCGCAAGTCGAAGGTTGGCTTCCAAATCAAGTTGAGTCATAAACAGCAAGCCGTGTGTCATTGTTTAGCCAGTTCCTTGCAGAAGGAAGCTTAATTACTGCAGGGCAATGGAAGACTGCTTTGCTCTTGAAGGGTTTGGACATGGGTAACAGGGGCATTCGATGTTCGATCTCCACGTGGATGCGCGAGCAAGAGAGCAGGGGATGTTGTAACGCCAGCAAGCGAGCAACTACATACAAACAGCAGCGATGTTTTGAGCAGTTGCTTTGCATTGCTTCTGCTCAAACCCACGGCCAAGTTTGCCACGGGAGACAGCCAGATCAGCCAAAGACATATCTGTTGTGAAGCCTAGGTTCCATACGGGAGAGGTGGAACCGCTTGCAAGGGGCATCTCAGGTTTCCGAAGGGTCTTGATCGCAGCAAAAAGCTGAGAGCTGCCAGATTCAGCCACGGTGTATCCTGGATGGGCAAATGGAGAATGAAGAAGGACCTGTGCGAGTCACTTCTCACTTCTCTGACTGGCCGGCAAAACACGAGTTGGCTGGTTGACGCACAGCCACTTTGAGGACAAGACTGCACTTTGCAAATGTTCGTCAGTGCTGTCCACACTTGTCCTTTTGGTGAGTGATTTCCATCCTAGCATGGTGCCCAATCTTCAAAACGGTATGTTTCTGGTCTAAAGCTATTTACTGCAAGAACATCCTCGGTCAGCCCCTTGCTGTGTTGACGTGGTCATCCGCGCTGCTTGAAAGTCGGCGTGGGCTTGTGTCTCCGGGGAAGTGTGATGGCTGCGACTTGAGTCAGGGATCTAGAGTTGGCCAGGCATGTTGGGATAGATGGAGTTGGTAGTTGGGTTGATTGGATATGTGGATTGCTAAGAAGTTGTTCTTCGTCGGGTTTGGTGGGGTTGGTGGGATTTGTGGAATTGAAATGGCTGAGGTTTGCATAGAGGCCCAGCTTCTTGTTTAGCTCCTAGCTTTTCTGGCTTTGCAGGCAAGGTCTGTTGCATGGCTACCTTGTATGGCCCCTTGTTCTGCTTTTACCCTCTGTCAGGACGAGTCACGTTTGTGGGATTGGCTCTGAGCCAAAAGATGAAGCCCGGGAAGTTTGGTTTTGTTTCCTTCGGTCTTCCTAAAGTTCTTTAGGTCTTTGGAGCAATCCTCAAGACCATTTTTCACAATGTGGGTGGTCAACAAATGAGGCCCTGTTTGCCCCCTCGCAACCCCAACAACAAAAAAGAAGTAAAGAAAACAAGAAATAACAAATACAGCACATATCGGCAAGTCACAAAAACGGGGTCAAAACAAATAGATGACAACCCATGTCGGTCCAATCCAGGTGTGAAGCAGCAGACCAGCGACGAGGAACTCTGCAGCCTGGTTGAGGGGCAAGTTCCTTTGAGGCCACAGACGCTGTAGGGTGTGATATGGGGGGGTGTCTTTTTGAGGGTACCCCTTTTTTGTGGCTTTAAAGGGGAACCAAGAGGAAGCCCGCCATTTTGAGGGTCAATGCTTGCCGTCATCTACTGTAAAGGCGATGATATGGACAAAACTCGCCAAATGCCCGTTCAGCAGGTGGGGGGGGGGGGGGGTTCTCACCAAATTCCCACATCAGTTGGGAGCGTCATAAATGTTGACCATGGCTCATGAACCCTGATACATAGATAAACACGTGAATAAGTAGGCAAGAAGCCCTATCGATTCTTTACAGTAGTTTGGGTAGATCCCATTAATTCTATGCTTGATTGATGCTTCACGGGATGAAAGGGAATCCTTTAAATATGGTTGGTGGATATAATGTGCCATGCAAATAATGTCCGCAAAAGAAAGGGCCCATCATTTTTCAGCCTGGTAGTTTTACCAGAGTCCCGATCAATATTCCCATCTTGAGGAATGCCGGGGACCTTTCCGCGCTTCTTGAGACTTGAGACCCGGGGTAAAACGAGCTCATCCATGATGAAGGTCTCTTAGGGATTCCTTAGTTAGGCTGGTGAATTCTAGTAATTTGCCCTGATTTGGGATGCCCTATCTGAGCGATTCTTTCCACTCGTCGCAGGTTCTGCTAATCTGCCAGTCTCTGAGACTAGAGCCTGCCGAGGTGAGGGGTATCCAGATGAGTTCTGTCGCCCAGCTGCAATGGACTCCGGAGTTCGCAGTAGCTGGTGCCTGAATGGGAACCTCCTTACAGACACAATATCGGTAGGAATTGACATTCAGGACCCTTTGGTGGACATACATGGGGAGTCGTGTCCACCAACCATGTTTGATGTTCCCCATCTGTTTTTTGGTTTCTGTGTATGTATCCATGATTGCCCGCGTTGGACAATCCAAGGCAATTTTTTGCGATACTGCAAGTCACTGCAATTCGACGAGAAGCCGGACTACGAGTACCTGCGCCTCGGTTGCACATGCCTTCCCAACGCAGCTTCATAATGGTGGAGTGTGGTCCGATAAACATCAAGGCACGGTATGTTGCACAAAGACACATCGCCTTCCTTCCAGGATGACTTTTGAATGAGCAGTTACCAACACCTGTCCCACCACTGTGTTACAGGTCAACACGTCTTTCCTCAAAAGGCATGTTGACGTTTCTTATCTAATATGAGCCATTGGTGCTTTTGCGACTATTGGAGATGGCAGAAGATGGTAGGAGAGAGTGTTAGAGAACCATGTGAGTCACAATCAAACCCCGGGTACTTGGAAGGTAGTAGGGGACAATCCCAGCCACAAATAGGTGCGGCCGCCTTTGCAACTCTTGACATGGTTCTGGGTAGACCATTTTAATACCGGGGTTTGATCGCGAATCACGTGCAGTCACGAGATCAGGGGTCAGTTTGCTTGGAGTTGGGCACTGGCTGAGGCGCAGCATGTTCCACAAACTCTTCGAGAGGCGAGCCAAAAACTTTGTATCGAGCCTGCTGCCTGCCTTAGTGGGTGCGGGTTGCCTTTGCCGTTGATTCTCTGAATTTCAGCGATGGGAAAGGGATGTTTGATGACTGCCAAGCGAAGAAGCGAAGGCGAAAGAACGGCCAGTTTTTGCCAACATTGTGTGTCCAAACGGAACACCCTTCCAAAAGATTGATTCTGGTTCGAGCACAATATCCCGTGGTCTATGGGCTCACCAAGTTTGGATTGTGGCATATGTGGATTGTGAGGACTAGGTTGGTACCATACCTTGATAGTCTCGCAGGCAGGGCTTCGTAAACGACGGCGTGTTCGACTGGACCGGGATGAGCCTTAGAGAGATTTGGAAGAAAGGCACATGGCAAAACTGTGCAATCTTGCTCACTGTGAAATGCACTAGGTTGCAGCAGGATGAACTGGATTCGTTTTTGTCGTTTTGCCGGGATATGAAATCCAAGCAAATATCCTTTGGTTTAATATTAGTGACGCAGTCACTGTCTACAAGCTGTCAAAAAGCCCTGGGCCTTTTCCCATGATCCAAATCTGCGAGACAATCTCCCTGGGACGTTGCATGTATCAGAAAATTGAAACAGCAAAAAGTAAAAAGCTTCGAGACTCGTCGGGAGTCCGCTCCTTGCCACTACGGCCCCGGATCGATGGTAAGTCTTCAGCAGCCAATTGCTTGGCCTTTTTGGCTGCTTGAGTCCACTTGGTCGTGCCCCAACTTGGCCCTTTGCTTTGAAGGTGATTGGACAAGGGACGGTCATCCTTCTATTTTCAAACTTGGGCGGTTTCAGCCTCTGGACGACTATTAATTAATATTCCGGTTGGCTAGAGTGACGTTTCAAGACCTGCAAGGAATCCTGGCAGACAGGCCTAACTCTGTTCGCCAAGGAGCCTTCCGCCGCCCAGCGAGAGGAAGAAAGTGGTTTCGTGCTCCCGAGACCTGCGGAAAGCGCGGGAGAAGGCGAGGCAAACCGAGTGCTAATATGTGTGTGTGTGTGTCTTGTTTCATTGGCCTGGTAAAACCGAGTCATTCCGGGCGTTGCTCATTCGTACACGAGGTGCTCTTAGTGAGAAATAGGAGCGAAATCTCCAGCCCCATTTGAATGGAATTGGAGGGGACGGTATCCAGGATTATCTTTCCTGGCGATTGCCTGGCCGGCGAAGTCCCAAGTGGCGCCGCAATCCGACGCGTAAGACTTAGAATGTAGAAGGGACAGTGGCATTGCATGTGTCTGGCAACAAAGTGTTCGTTCCGGATATGGTCTGTAGAACCGCAAAAGCTGTTGTTGTTTTGGGCAGAAAGTTGACCCGAAGGTTGTTGCTGTCTCAAATTTCTCTGAGTCATCCCCTGATGTAGTCCAAGATGCCAAATGTGTTTAGTCGCTTTGGTCTCATTGTGGCCGAGTTTGCAATGCTATGAATGGCTCCATGACCACATCCCTGCATAATCGGTATTCAACCAAGGCTTCCAGGAGGTACGGTGAAATAGTTGACGGTTGCACAGAGCAAATCATAGACATCTAGGTGTTTGCAAGGTCAGCTAGTCTTCGGACTATAAGCAGAGGATTCTAACAATAGATCCCTATGATTGGTCCGTTTGGCTGAACCACGTAAGGGCCCAAGGTATCCGCCATCCCAACATGGCGCCCGTGGGAGGGCACCTGCATGATGTGGGGTAAGACTGCTGAGCATCGCTCGCAGGAGATCAAAATCGCACCGCAGGCCGGCATGCGCGTCGCTACCGGGGTTTTATTTGTCTATGTGGCTTTTTGAGCCCACTCATATGGGTCTGCGTTTTCTCCGGTCCTTTTTTGTGCTTTTTCAAGGGAAGCCAAAAGAAAAACTGCCATTTTGAGGGTCCCAAAAATGAAACACCCATATGGCTAGTATCCGTATTTGCGACGATGTGGAGCCTGCCCAAGACAGCTGATGCCTCACAGAAGAAATTGAGTGATTCCTTTTATCTAATGTTTGGATGCTAAGGCCCTGCATTCACCTGAAACATTTTTTCCACTGGCACCTTTGGTCCCAGCTAAGGGTGCAGCGGCATCCGTCCTTTGGACTGATGAGGGATGGGTTTGTGATTGATATTGAAAGATATTATGTCACGTTTAAAGCTGCAACCTCACGCACGGCTGTGCCCAGCATGAACTATCTTTTGCGGATCCGTCGATAAGTTTCTGAGATGGAGGTAATTGAAACCAGAGCGAGGCAATGGGCAATCTCATGGGGAGAGAAAACAGGGCTCCATTGAGCAAATTCAGTCGAAATCTTGAGTGGATCTGTTTTTTGCGGGTACCCTTTTTGGGGTTGGTTAAAGGAAACCCCCCCCAAAAAAAACACACGGGGGGCCTAAGAAAAAGGACACCCAAATGGAACCTTCAGTGCACAAAGTCCGCGAATCATTTGTATTCGGATGTGAAGGACTATCGCTGTGTGGCTGCGCAATATTCATAGGACAAGTGATACACCTCAAGATGGTCATCCAACAATACGGCCATGCTAAGCAGTTCCTTGTTTCCTGATCAGATGAGTTGCCGTGAGTACAAATTACTGCACGATATGGTCAAGGTGCGGAGAACGGCAGATGTACCGAGGTGCACATATGCTGTACATCGCCAGGAGGAATTGATTCAGTTGGTGCTTGACTATTGAAGGATGCTACTTCCTTTCAAAGGGACTGCAAACAGACCCAGATCAATCGCAACGGCAAGGACTATGGGTAGGTAGGACGAAATGAATTTGCCAACTTGGTACAGAGTCAGATTGACCCACTGCCCGCACCATCTTTGGGCTATGTTTAGGGGTAGAGTGGGATTGCGCATGGCTTCCTGGCGATCAACAGCAACCAACATGTCATTCTTCCAGAGCGACCTGCTTACACCGGCAGACGCAGGTGGAGGAGATCATCAACGGGCCACGGTCACGAAGCCGTGGCCGCAACGAGAAGCGCTGAGAGAGTCTGCTCAAAAAGAATGTGCCGGCGGCGAGGGGTGGGGTCTACAATAAGTTTGGGAGGGACTGAGTTTCCCCCACAACCAGATGGACGCACTGATTTTCCCATAGACAGAGGGAGAGAGAGAGAGAGAGATAGAGAGAGAGAGAGAGAGAGAGCGAGAGAGCGACCGAAGGGGGAAGCTTCACACCTTGCACTTTGGCTGTGGCTACATTCAATCTAGTGGAATTCGGCCTTAGAAAGGCTTCGCGTTCCCCAACTCATCTACATTTGGAAGTGTTGGTTTCTGAATATGCATTCCGGGCCATGGTTACAGGGGGCAGGCCTGGAGTGGTATAAGCCAGGGGCAAAAGGTGATGGTTTGGTCACGTGAATTGGCTAGCCCAGCAGTGCGCTCATGTCCAGCATTTGTTTTGTTTGCTCATTGGTTTGCTGTCACTGCCAGGATGCAGCACTGACTCCCAGCACTCAGCGCTTCAAACGTCCCACTGCTTTTCGGAATGCCCGTGGCCCCGATCGATCATGATCACATCCCAGATCGCCCTTATCCGTATCGACTGTTGACAGTTGACCACGGTGCTCACAAAAGCGCTAGTGTGGGTGGACGAAATCCTGCACCACACCTAAGAAGCCCTGGATTCAACAGTGGCGTCCCATGGTTTCAAAGCGGTGCAGGATTTCGTCCATCCGCAGTATGCTTGCGTTTTGCACGTCCACTTTGGGGTGTCTTTTCCGAGTCGCTTCAACCAACTCACCAGTCCCCTGGACCTCTCCTTTAAGGCCTTGTCCTTGGCAGCTTACGTAACCCAAAATATGTTTGCATGAGCATGCCTCAAAAGGTGCCATGTGGAAGCAGAACAAGACATTGCGAGGCGTGCACATTGGGTTGTCCCACAGAGTTTCTTCATCCCAATTCGCGGAGGCGTCCACCGCCAACCAGCCATGACTGGCTATGCCCCTTCCAGTCATGTGCTTCATGCTTTGCCAGGAACCTGTGGGTGTGTTACGCGATTTGAGTTTCTCATGGCTTGTTGTTTAGGACTACACCCATGTTATGTAACGATGCTTGCACTGCTGACTGCTGATACCCAATTACAAAAACAAAGGCAGTCTGAAGTCGTCAGACCATGGATATAGGGAGGAGCTCTGAAGGGATACAAGCTAGGATGCATGTGGTACTGTAGGTGTGAAAGTCATGCTGGAGGCATCCCTTTTGGTGGGCAACCAATGATCGCACATATGGGAAAGAGCTCATGCGACGCCCTCTGGATGTATCCCCACAACCCCGGTAGGGGTGATTGGGTTTCACGACGTGGCTCTTGCTTGACAGGGGTGGCAATCACGATTTGGGCGGTTTTAAGCGTACCCCCAATGTTGATCCCCGCACAGGTCCGTGCATTACTCCCCTGCTAAATGCAGCGATCGGGGCTCACGGGCATGATCCCGGCGCAAAAGCGGCAGTCCGAAAGGAAGTTTGGATGCGATGCAAATTTGAAGCATCACCTTTTGGGTCAATTTCAAGTGACTTTCCTCTTGGTGGGGTCATGATCACAGAGGAAACATTGTAATGTTAACTTCGAATTAATTCCCTAAAAAAGCTCATGTCCGTGATAGAAGGGAAACAACCCTTGATTTGTGCGGGCCTCCAGATGAATCCGAAGTTGACACTAAATATAGCCAAAGCGATTCCCCACTCCAACCGGGATTGGGCTGACGAAGCTGCACAATCGAATAGACAACTTCTGGAGTTTGCGGGGTGTCTTGAATGTACGGACTACATGTTAGTCATCACAAGTCTTGCTATATGTTGAGCTGCGCGTTTCGAACATGTAGCCGCTCTTTTGCTTCTGGGCCGTAAGCCAATCCACCACGGCGCGGTGTTTCCTTTTTGACTGGATGGCCCTACACGCGACGGCTGGGCGCCTAGCCAGAGATTCGAAGGTCAGGTTCCAGTCCGCCTGAAGTTGTCCGGTGGGCCATCGAGCCAGCGAACTTTTGGCGTGTCCGGTGCCAGTTGCTGAGGGTTTTCAGAATGGGGAGCCCAGAGAATGGCAAAGCGGTGCCCTTAAAACAAGCGATCTGATTGATATGTGTTTCCACACCTGCTTCAAGCTTGCTCCGAAAGGCAAGTCCCATAGCGTTCACTTGAGAGGATCCCTGCATTGGAATGCCGATCGAATCATCATGTTACGACTGCTTGGGGGCTCGAGATAGAGATTCTTGTTATGGCAGCTTGTGTATGTCCATGAAAGTCATGCAGAATGCTCCCTTGCAATTCAACATACCTAGAAGGGGGGCTTGCAGGAGAGTCCACTAAAAGTCATGGCTTGTTGAGTGCTTCCGTGAATCTGCGGAATGAACCCACCAGATCCACAGCCCTGCAAATGAGCCCTTGGTGCATGCGACAAGCCACTTTAGCAATTGCTTTGCTCGAACTCGCCAAAACTGGCGCCGGCCCCGGCCCGATAATTTAGCGATGTCGCCTGAAGGGAGACAGCACCCGTTGGCAGGCCTGAAGTGAAGACGATTCGGTCTTTTGGGGAACAAAAGTCTACTTGAGAGCTTTTGGGAGTTGGTACCCCGTTTGGGTTGAAATGGAAAGCGACCGGACGGACATATCCCAAACGAATGTTTGCTGGAACGCTTAGAAAAGGGCCCCCATTCTGGTGCTTGGAGGTTTTAGGCGTGGTGTTTGGGGGTTGTCCTCTTGGTTTGAAGGATCATAACTTTGTCATCGATGTCGATCCCAGGGGGCTGCAGCATGTAATTTATAGCTCACATGTGACGCTCTGAGCAGGGACGATTTGTTTGTCCCAGGCGGCTTGAGTGGTTTGACTCGAGCCACCAGATGCTTGCTTTAGAAGGACGTGTTTTTGAGGTTGTTTTTTCCCCTTTTTTTCGTGAATTGCATGAAGTACCGTGAACTAGAAGTCCCACAGAGGCCAGAAGGACCAAACCACTTGTATGGCTTGCAGAAGGAATCCAGGATCGCCAGGGCCCCTTTTCACCATGGAGACGTCGACTCCGCGCTGGCAGCGCACGATCCAGGGGTGTCCGGCAAAGCGAGCTGAGCAGCTGGGTCATAGTTAGTTGGGAACAAATATAGATATTATAATATGGTGTCTTCGAACTGATGAACCACCAACTTGGTAGTTCCCTTTTGGGTTCTCGTTTGGAGCAAGAAACGGTGCCCTCAAAGAAAGACAAACCAGGGTGAGCACTGAGAAGGCAGAAATGGCTCTCAGCTTGCTTTCCGGCTGGATTTGTAGGGATCCGCTTTTAACGACGCTTGCTGCCGCGCCAGTTGGCGAAGGCGGGGTGGCAAGGGACGTGGCCATTCCAAATGGGTTAGTTTTTTTGGAACCATACCCTTCAGTTGTTTGAAAAGGGAAGCACCAGGAAAACCACCCGTTTGGAGTCGCCCATCTGCAGACAAACCCAAGATGTGGTCGGCGCTGCAGGCATCTCGAGTTGTACATACTCCTCTTCCAACGACTCCAAGATGTGGCTGCCCAAGAGACATATGGTGAACACTGCGTTGCTGAGTCCAGTGAGAAGCGTCGATCAACAATATTGTGCTTGGAGTTTGGATTTTTTGCCAAAGCCGCATGAGGGTCTGGTTTGAGGTGTATTGTTGGAATCAAAGGTCAATCAGAAGGACATAGGGTCCACATAGGGTCCCCTCTTTGTGGACACACGAGCTGAGGGCTTTGTTCGCACGAGGCTATGGTGGAGAGCCCCGCCTGACCCGCCCGTGGTGAATTGCGACCGCTTCGGGGTCCGGAAGGACGCAAGCGCGAAACTTGACATCAATGACGGCCTGACCGGTGTCGTTCTGACGGATTGTTTTTTTTTGTTTCCCCACCGGGTTCTGGCTTTATATAAACCACCCCAAGCGTGAAGATGGGGAAAGGCTGAAAACAATCTACCACTGGAGGGCCAAGACTGGGAGTGCAAGGCACGCCATTCTCGGACGAGTGAACGCCATTCGACATTGATCAAAGATCTCTTGCAGGGCTTCTGTTGTTGTTTCCGAACTTGCCGTTCCTTTGGGCGATTGCCGTTGAGCTTTTGACAGCCAGCAAGCGAGATTTCGCAGCTGCGTTCTTCCGTCCAGAAGGCAGGTGAGTTTCACCGCGTAAAGGCGACCGCATGGCACCACATGTTTTATTCTCCCTTTTCTTAATTTTAAGAAAATCTATCACTACTGGAAATGTGTGTTTTGTTCCAGTGAGCGGAAGCAATGGAAGGTTAGTTGAGGCAAAAGGATGCCGAGGGAGGTGAAGGATCATGCGGGAATTCGGTGTTTTCTTCTGGCTGCTGGGCGCCGGAATGGCACCAATCCCTAGCCTGCAAGAGACGCGCAAGCAATGTGCAAACTTCTTGGCCTGCTAAAAGCGACCTGCCGCGTTTCTGTCGCCCTTTGGATGGCAGGCAGCTTTGGCTGTATCCAATTGACACGTTGAACAAGGCACCACTTAGCAACGACAACGACTTGTTTCTAGGAAGGCACCGAACAAGCGCATCGTTCGGGTGCTCAACGCGCGGCCAGCTGCAGAGACTTGCAACCTCTCTCATAAGGAGATTGCCACAAATTGAGGACTCGATAGTTGCCTTAGAGTGTGCAAGCACACTCCGGCTAAATGTCCGTTGCTCTCGAAGCATTTTTCCGCCGAGAACCAAAAGAGAAGCATGAAGATGCTCCGAGGTATTCTCCCCATACTTGCTTCGAGCGAAAGTTGAACGGTTAGGTGTCTCGGCGAAGCTTCAAGACATCACGACTCCAATGCAAGAGTGGAGCCTCGCGGCTGAACACCTTTGGGAGGACACATTGAGTTGACTCAGAGAATTCAACCAGAACAAGACTTGAGCCCTTACTCGAAATGTCCATCACGTCACAATGGTGACGTCCATGCAAGTGTACGCACATTTCTTGGTATGATTCTCAAACAATCTTAAGTACCCTGGAACTTGACAGCAAGTACCTCCGGCGACGGTTCCATGGCGAAGCTGACGTGTTCGTCGGGTGCCAGACTGGCAAGACTCGCTGTGCCCCGTCGAGATTGCCACGGCTTTGGACAGACTCCTCCTGGTGTGGGAAAAGGGCCGTGCATGCAGCGCACTGAATAACCTCACCTACGGACGCCACGGACCCACGTCACATGTTGACGCTAAAAATTGGGCCCCCTCCCTGTGCGAATGATTGAAATGACCCCGCAGATAGGGGGACCCCTGCTTGATTTTCGCACTTGGCGTTTTGAGCTTGGGAACATATTTTTCCCTTTGGTGCAGTGGCGTAGCGTGTGTGCATGCGTGCATCGAGAAATGTCGCCAAAAAAGAACGGCTCAGCTTAGGTTCCAGGTGCTTTCTTACCAGAGAGGAAGCAACATGCATTCTTTTGGCCTTGGGACACCTGATCTCTAAACGCTCGCTCAAGGCGATTACAAAGCAGAGACCTCCTGGACGCTGAGGGATTGGCACTCTCAGCTGGCTGCCTCTGGAGCTTGGACAACTGATCTTAAAGCTAGGGGCCTTCCTTTCCTCGGCCAGGTTATAGACATGGCCATAGGGGATTAAGCTCCAAAGTTGTCCACGCCTCGAGATACGACTGAGCAAGTGCATGGTGCAAAGGTCTTACATGGGCAAAAAATTGGAATATTCCATCATAATGGTTTTATCCAAATTTGGGTCCAGTATCAGTATGCGTGTGAGTGTGTACATGAGATATGGTTGGGTTCTCTTGAATTTACTTTAAAAAAAATGTAAGGATAAATACAAAATTTCGGTATTGTGGTATCGTGATCGCGGAAGATTATGGAAGGGCAAACGGGAATTTTGCAGAAGGATATTAATTATTGTTGGATGATTGAATTTATGTAGATTGAACAAAAATATGTTATTTGTGCTGGAATTAGGGCTTTATGATATTGGATAATTAATTATTAATAATAATAAAAAATGAAGAAATAAAATATATGGTTATTGAAGGAAAAAAACGAAAAACCAACAATATTTTAGGAATTGTGCAATAGAAATGGTAAGGATGGATTGTTGAAAGAAATACAAAATAATATAATTATGGGATATAAATATTATATGTATTTTAAAAAGGGAGAACAAATGTTGGATTAAATTGAAAATATTCAATATGTTTTTTTTATTATTATTTTATATTTGTTTGTTTTTATGTTTCTTTGTTGTTTATATGTTTGTTTGTTTTTTTCTTTTTATTTTTTGATGTTTTTATTTTTAATTTTGTTTTGTATTTTTGATAAATGATTTATTTCTTTTGGAATTGATGTTGTTGATTTTTTTTGCGTTGTTGTTTTGTTGTTTTTTGTATTTCTTATTTATGGTTTTTTATTTTTTATTTTTGTTTTGTTATTTATGTATTTTTTTATATATTTTTCGTATATTATAAAGCCGTTATATTTTTTTATTTGTTTTCTTATTTCTATTGAATTAGTGTGAATTAATGATTATGCCGCAAGACTTGGAATTTTTTATAGTTGAGGGTGTTTGTAATATAATATAGTTATTTCTTTTTCTTGAATTTTGGTTCGTTTTTAGAAAGGAAAAACCAAGGAAGGAGAGAAAGAAGGAAAGAAAGAGAATATATTTTTTGTGGTTCGTTTTAGCCCGCAATCTTCATCGTAGATTCTCGTAGAATCTTCCTGAACCCAAACAAACAAGCAAAAAAAATAACAAAGAACACAATCAACTAGCAACAAAAAAAAATAGAAATATAGAAAAACAAATCATAATTAAGCATATAGAGTATTAATTTTGGAATTTTAGCCTAGATAAATTCCGGAAAACAAAAACAAAAAATTAAGAAGATTCCACCAGGGTTTTATCTTCGTTTGTATTGTTTTCTTTGTATTTGTGTTATTTTTTTTTTATTTTTTGTGATTTGTTGGTTTTGGTTTATTTTTATATGTTGTTGTTTGTTTGTTTTTTGTAATGTTCGTTTGTTTTGGTGTATTTATTTGTGGTTTTTTTGGGGGGAGGATTCTTGTTTTGTTTGTGATGTGTGTTAATGAATGTTGTAGATTGTTTAAGTGGTTTGGTTCATAATAAAAGATATCTTTTTGTTTTATATATTTTATATATAATTATTTAGTTGTTTAAATATATAGGATATTACTACGAAATTTGGTTTCGAATAAAGGCTTAAAATAGATTTGTGAGGAGCTAATTTTGTTATATATAATTATAATTCTATTTTAAGATTCGTGTCGATTGTGTCGAGGTTTTGAGGCAAAAAGAAATGCCGAATTATCTTCGGTTATATAAAGAGAAATTCTTGAAAGGTTAATGAAATTAATAAATTTATAGGGTTTTTATACTGTAAATTTGGGGGGAGGTTTTATGGAGTATGTTCGAAAGAATTAGGTTCGTTCTAGCTATCTTTTTCTAATACAATATCTATGTTTGTTTTTCCGTGGTGCTTATGCAGGTTTCGTGTTGATTCGTTAGTGTCTCAAAATGAATGATTTAGGGAAATATCTTCTGTATTAATTTATAAATCGTTATTATAAATATAAATTTTACCTAATATAATATAATATAATATATATATTATTTTAAAAAATTAAACAATAAAATCAAGATTAAAAATATGTTCTTATTTTAAATATAATATAAAAAGAAATGAAACAGATATTGATTGGATTAAAATAAATTTTAGTTAGTTGGTAAGGAATTTAAATAGAATTAAAACCGATGTTGAAAGGAGGAAATTGATGATGTTTAACGAGATTTGGCCGGAATTAGACCAATTTTTAGAAAGGATTTAGATAGAAATATTAGTCGATATTTAAAGATGATTTGATTGATGAATTTCATATTTTATAGAATTAAAACGAATTTTGATATATCTATTTTTTAGAGGGGATTCCTAGTGGCCCTAAGAGGAATTTGGTTTTGGATTGAATTTGTATATGGTTTTCTAAAGCAGGGATTTTAATCGTATAATATAGGATCGAATGTGGGGCTAAACGGATCAATTTCGGGCATATATATATATATTAAAATCATATTAAAATAATATTAAAATTATATTAACAATTAAATTAAATATATTAAATATATTAAATATATTTAAAATAATATTCTATCGTATCCTTTAAAGATGGAAATGATTAAATTTCAATCTTCCTAAACCCCATCCCCAAGATTATATATATATCAATTATATAAATATATCACAATATTTTAAAAAATAATTTAAATTCATAAATTATATATTTATAAAAAAAATCAAAAACAAAATATATATTTCTATTTTTTTTAAAAAAAAAAACATATAGTATATAATATATTAAGATATCTATAATAATATATTTAAATTTAATTAAAAATTTGGGTAAAAATATATATAATATTATATATAATTAATAAGTTAATATATTATAAGTGAATTAATTTCATAATTTAAATTAAATATATATATATATATCATAATATTAACTAATATAATTAATTTGTTATAAATGATTCCTGTATTATTATTCCTAAAATACGAAATTAGAAAGCAGATATAATCGTTATATCTAGGATTGTTCACGAAAAATGCTAAATGAATATTTTATAGATTAATAATATTAAAATAAAATATATAATAAAACAAAATAAAAATAATAATTATGTATTATTAATAATTTATTTATAAAAAGGTATATACCAAACATAAACACACCCATAATAATTTAAAAAATCAATATCTAATTCATAATATAAATTACGAACCTCTAATTTAAGCAAGTATAGGTAAGTTATATACCAATAAGGAAAAAAAAAAAAAAAATCCTTCAATCCCTTCTTCATATAATAAATAAATATATATATATATAAGATTTAACGAATAAATATATATATATATATCATAATAATATAATTTAAGAAATATAATTATTTTTTCTATATATATATATATTTATTTATCTAACTAAATAATTATATTATTCGAATCTTCGTAATTTAAAATTATTTCCATTATATGAGGCTCTATAGATTAATTAAAATTACGCGCAATTGTTTCCGCAAAAGGATTGACCATCTAGAATACAATAGGCAATGTAGTGCAGCCCAAATCTTCAAATCGAGATGCTCGAGGACATAAACAACAAAACAGAGTCGGGAGATAAAATCTTGCCCACCCACAACCCAGCGCCACTTTAGGCACGGAGATTGTATCACCCCGCTCCGAAAACGAGGCCCAAACCAAACACACAAAAAAGGCCGAGAATCTCGATCCAAAACACAAACTAAGGGAAACAGTCGTAAAGGACACCGCCATGCATCAGAAGTAATCGAAGCAATCATCGAGAGCAGCAGACCAAACCACGGGCTTGGAAACCAGCTCACGCATTTTTGGCGCCGACTCCCTCACTTTTATAACGCTTCAAGGCAAACTAGAGCACAGTATATACCTCAAAGCCAGCCAAAAACGGACTGGCCGAGGCAGGCAATGTGAAGCGTTTACAATTTATCCATTCACCCGCCTGCACATAATGAGTAAAAAATGATTAATGTATTGGACCATGCTAGGAAATAGATTGTAAACGTCTTGTGAAGTAGATCAATTGACTTCGAGAGTAAAGATTTGCGAGTAAGGGGCCTGAATCATAGGTAAACATGGTGTGCAAGAATTTCAGATAAACAGCAAGCGTACATATGAAAAATTATATATAGTTGGACACCTCATTTTTGTTTGGAAGAGATTGGCAGAGAGCGCGTGTAAGTCATCAAATCCTGCCAGGGTAGCGGCATACGAAAGGCTGAAAGGTTGAAGGTGTGCCATGCGTCCATCTTTTGAAACTCCTGTTATGAACCCCGGGTTCTTCACGCCTTGATTCAATTCAGCATTACTTCTTGCGGAACCCAGCGACTTCTTGGCCCACAGCTTCTGCATTCAAAATTAGAGGACCCCAAAATAGCTGGCATATGTGTGCCTTTCCTTCCAACCCAACCAAGTGACGCAGAAAAAAGCTTTGGAACAAACAGGTCAGTTCTCGCGCACTCCCAGCCTTTGGTATGCCCACAGCTCCACAGCATACCTCGAGTGAATGCACTGCCAGGGAAATTTGCAAGTCTGGGAAAATGTCTCAAATCGAAAAACACCCTATGAAATCTACGGATATCTCAAACGAAACACTATTTTTGAAGGAATCAAAAGAACAATATGAAAATCTTAAAGAACCTCAAGACCCGGGAGCTGGGGGTGAACTCAACGGGCCAAAATTTCAACATGCAAACCCACTTGCCATTGTCCCTTTCAAGGCCAAACTGGTCCTCGCCACCACCCGTTTGGATGACATGTTGGACAAAGAACCCTCCCGCTGAACGGCCCTTTGTCCAACTCCACTTCCATCACTAAAACGAGCTCGGCCAGGGCACGGGGTCCAGTCGCCCATGCAGGCCTCGCCACGGAAGTCGAAGCCTTCAGGGGAGTCGCGCGAACTGGAAGCTCAAGCTGTTTTTGAGGCTTGCCCTGCACAACTCAGCGCGGATTGAGGCTGCACTGCAGGGATACAGGCAAGAATGATGGTATATGGCAAACTCCCTGTGCATGTGTGCCACTCCTCGGGCAGTAACACCATTGATCAAATGCCACTCTTGCAAGCATGTTTGCAAGTTTACGAAACACATCCTTCACACACACACTCAAGCCGCAAGCTCTGCACTTGCCAGCATCAAGGGAAACTCCAGATGTGAGTTTGGGAGGTATGCAGGCCCACACCAACATATATATATATATATATACATAATATGTATATAACCTCCATAGGAACCCTGAAAATGCCCTTGACAGCACCGCAAGCCCAAAGCGCCTCGCATCACATCGTTCGGAAAGCCTCGGCAAAGCGCATCTCTAAACCCAGCTCTGGCCCTCAAAACCCCCAGTTTCAAGGCTGTTGCCTGAAAATGGGAAAGATGCGGGCGTGGCTCAAGAATGGAATTCCCAAAATGGCACTTTGGTGGTAATATGTTGTGACCTTTTGTTGGGGTAGCAAGTTCTCGTTTTCAGCGCACCCAATTCTTTCTTTGCTAGATTGGCAGTATGGTCGAAGCAATGTTCCCTTGGCCTCTATTGACAGCAGAACTCTGCACTGCTGAACATGGTCAAAAGCAAACATGACAATCAGGCAGCAGTGCGGCCATCCACTTCCGGCCTCCTGGTTCCGCGCTTCTGGTGCTAGGACCCCGGACCCCCACAAAGCCAAGCATGCAGCTGTCTGGCTTCGGGGAAACATTTAACCGACAATCCCACAACCACTTCATCTATGAACAAATATCATAACTTGCCTTCAAAAAGGGCCCTCGGATCTTTCGGGTGATGAGGTTTACCCCTTAGAATAACGCCTTAATCCTCCGCAACTCTGCCCAGAGTCATAAACATCAACTCCCCCCCCAACCAACCAACCAACCAGCCCAACCCAAAGCTCACCCCCTTGGGCAACCCGCCTTGCCGAGCAACGCTTCGAGGTGAGCAGCACCGCCCCCACGCGCAGGCGCAGCGCCTTGCGGGCCATGGCTGCCACCAGGGTCACGGGCCACGTCACGCAGTTGGCAAAGGCCACCTCGGGCTTCGGCAAAAAAAAACCCGTGGCTTCGGGATATGACCCCCCCGCGTTCTATCCGCCAATTTGGCTGTGCTTGTCAAAACCCCTGGTACACCTGGTGAACATCAAAATAGGTGGTACATGGGTGTTCGTCCGCCCCAAAATGGAGGCATAGGTTCTGACCAATTTCCATACGGTTTCAGCCATCCAGCTGGCGGGGATTTGACCCAGGAGAGCAAAGCTGAGGTTCGAGGAATGAGAATCCACAGGCAGTGATCCTAGGGACAAGCTCGGGCCCGAAATGGAATTCCCATCCCAGTTTGAAGAGGAGACTCAACAGGTTGACCTAAGGGAAAATGAGGAAAAGCTGAAGGAAAGCTGAGAGGGAAGGCAACATGTCACTTGGGTTGGTGAGTTGATAGGAACCTGGCTGTAAACGAATAGTTGCCTCGAGCAGCTGACGCAATCCAGGATTTGTTTGCTTGAAGTGTGCAGTATCACCTGGAAATGAGGACTTTCCAAGCTGGTGTTCCTTACATAGGAACCCCATCCAGCCTATCAAAAACAAGGTTGCACCCGGGCCTTGAGTCGCTGCTTGTCTTTATCCCCTTCCTTTTGCTTGAATACTTGTTGGTACTGCTTTCCATGTGTTGATACAAATGCAAGGATGCGCAAGGATCATGATGGGAAGCACGACCGACAGCAGGAGCAGGCATGACCGCTATTTAAGTGACCACTTTGGTAACCTCAAATCGGGCAAGGCGTTTGGGGCAAAGGGGATGATGTTATGGCGACCCGCAACCAGGGCGCAGGGCGTGTCTGTTGCAATATGTGCACCTGTCATGATGTTTGTTTCGGGCAAGCCATAAACCAGTCAGCTGTTCTTGCTGCCGTAGTTCACTAACAGCACCACCGGAATTCGGACAAGCTTACCATTGCCTACACACTGTCCTGTCCTGCCAGCAGCACCTGCAAATGACAGAACGCAAACTGCAAAGCAAGCAATTGGCATCAGCGATTTAGCTGAGGCCCTGCTTGGGATCTTGGCATATCCAAAAAAATAACCAACACACGTGCGCACGCTTAGCCTTTGACTTTCATGGGCTAAGTACGAATGCCGTACCAATTGATCTGTGCGAGTCATTCTCTAGTCGAAGAGGACAGAAGGAAAGAAGGAAAGAACCTTGGAGGTCGCAAACCAAGACCTATTTGCCATCACTGCGATGTCGGGACCCGGGTATTCCAAGGCGCCGATGCATCGGACCAGTCAAAGTCTCGAAGATCTCCCTCGACAAACATCCTGGCATGGTCGACAGGGTTACCTGCCGAAACCACCATGGGTGCACTCCCAGAAAATCAGCGGAAAAGAACGCCTTTCAGCGATCTGCCATTGGAGGGCCTGTTGATCACCTCATGTTGGGCTTCTGCAGGGCAAGATCCTGATGAAAAAATCGCTGAGCCATGTAGGAGACTTGAGACATCTACAGCGTCTGGAGTACTGACAAGAAACGCTTTTAAAGCCTATTGAATTCTGCTGCTTGCTGATGAAGTGTATAGAGGTTCCTTTTGTTCCTCAAGCAGGTGAACCACAGCAGAATCCGCGAAAGCATCAGGCTCAAATACGATGGCAACAGGACAATGGCATCCATGTCCACCTTACTTTAGGATGAGTGGAAATACATGCTTCGGAACCTTCACGTGCAGCAAGGAGAGGCATGATCTCATTCTCGCGCAACCATCTTGCATCACGACGTGAAGCCCGTGCGAATCATCAAACCACTCCACCCAGAAAGGCGGCCACGCCGAGGTGCGAGGTGGGATCCAACTTCTTCTTGGCCTTGGAAAACTTTGCCAGGCCAGTGTCCGCCTGGGCGGCAAGGGATGCTAATGAGTCGAGAGGGATCCACCCGAACCCTCACTTGTAAAGGAATCTCCCTTTGGGGAAAGGATCATGTTAGTGGAAACCTGGAAGGGAAGTAGGTTAAGAGTAAGTTGGGTCTTCCTTATGATTCATCAAACCTTTGGACAAGTGGTTGGCAATTCACCACCGTAACAGCCGTGGCAGCACAGAAAGCTGCATCTAAGGATTCGACAAACTGGTGGTCAAAGAGTGACAATAGAAGAGAGGCAGTCATGCCCAGCAATCAGTCTGGACAGCGCAATCTGCTGAGAGCAGCAGCATTCCACCAATTCTGAATCTGCAGGACAATATCCCGCTTGCTTTAAAGTAAGGATAAATCTTGTGTTGAGTTAGCTCCAACTTTGGCAGAAATCGGCAACAAACCCCTGCTTTGGTAGAGGCCCAACCGCGCCCCCCGCTGCAACAATCGTTCACTGGTTCGTGTGGGGTTCAGCATGTAAGGTTGTGCGACTCAAGCGGACTAAGGCCTAAGGCCTAAACTAACAACTCTGTAGTCCGGGAAGGTCTGTACCATGGTGGTCCTTTTACCACATGTATTGAGACCCAGCTGAATATTTGGAAGAAGAAGGCCACACTTTTGGGGAGAACGTGCCCTTTTCCGATGAGGGCATCCAAAACGCAGCACCCTGGTCTGCAGGTATGGTTGTCGTGATCTTCAACAAGGAGAGCATGTGTTGCCATCGAGTGGTCTTGGACCATCTGCCTCTAGATCCTTTCGGAAAATAGATAGAGCTAATACTAATAAATGACTAGAACCGGTGTTGTTTGTGTGTTTTGTTTCTTCTTCTTATTATTTGTTTATTTTTTTTTTGGGGGGGGGGGGGGGGTAAGGCGAAACCACGTCATTGTGTGGAAGAGTCCAACATTTTAAGACGCCAAAACAGGAGGCCAAAGTGGGTGCTCACAGGACAAACTGACCAAATACAAAGGTCTTCAACCAAACTGATCTCAAAAGGACGGGCAACTCCTTGCACGATTTCTGCGCGACAAAGCTGCATAGCGCTTCGCCAGAGACCGCGCGGAGTCGTTGAACTCCTTGCAAATCTCCACGCCTACGTGCGACGACCGATACTTCTTCTTGGGGGTAGGCCTTGAGACATGAATGAGCAAATGGAATGAACGCTTCGGCCAGGGATTGAGGTATTGAAGATGAATGGAGAGGAAAGCAGCAACTGCAATGTTTCGTCAACACAATGATGTTACCAACTCTGAATGTTCCTTCATGAATTCACTCGATCACGTCAAAGTTGGTTGGGGCGCTAGGGGCTGCAATCATGATGAGTCGTGCTTGGATGACCATGTTTTATTGCCAGACACTTTCTATTTATTACAATTCCCTCGAGCTCAATGCAGATGGAACATAAAGAAGCAGCCCAAATTTGCCCAAATTTCCTTGGTTCATTTCTGTCGGAGTGATGCTGACAAACGGCAGTTTCCTTTGAAGAGTATGTTTATGCGTTCAACTTGCACCCCTTCCGTGCTTCGCTAAGTTGGGAGCTTCAAAATTGGGAAGCATTCCAGGTGGACGGTTTCTTTTTGTTGCCTGGATAAAATCATCCAATACAGGTTCCCTATGTGTAATAATTATATATATATATATATACAAAAGCGGCTCAAGTGTTCAAACATGGAATGACTGCAAACGTGGGACCACTGAAACATCTCCCATCTTGAGCCCCAGACCCACACAGTCTCGAAAGGGGAAGAGCGCGTGGGCGATCAAGACCTTAGACATCGAGATCTTCGCTGAGTCGCAAAGGGCCGCAAGTCTTCCGTTGCCTCAAAGAGACAAACAAGAGTGTTGCGCTTTCGGGGGACATGGGGGCCGAGTTTCCCAAAATCCTTTTGGGGGAACATCTGGTTTTGCCCTCTTGGACCACGTGTTGCGCCACTTCCTGCCAAAACCAAACCGTGAAGGAAGCTGAGCGCAAGCTGGTTTGGGGAAGCCAATAAAACAGCTTGGTTTAGCCAATTGCCACATGTACTCAAGTTGACCTTCCAGCATTTCAGAGCCTATAACCAGAAATTCAGCAAATCTTCTCAGCAATCATTTACAGAGCCGGAGATGTATAGAAGCAGAGTACCTGGCCGTGTAAGCTCCAAGCAGGCAGCGCATGCTCCTGACACAAAAGGAAGGTCACAAGAACCATAGATTGACCAGTCTGCGCTAGAAGCGCTGGCCGGAGCCTGTCCACCCCAAACCCAGACTTGGCCAAGCCCCATAGCTCTTGCTGGCCTTAGGAGCATTCCCAGTCACCGAACCTGTCTGGAACCCCTCGCAGAGCCCCCAGCGCCACCCCAAACCCATTTCGCTGAACCCTTAGCAGTGTCGCTAAAGCGGCAAAGGAACCCACCGGGAGAACGGTCTTGTCATCCAACTGGAATGATGTGGGTGCACTCTACTTCAATCGAAAAGGGGAGCCTGTCAAAGGAACCACAACATGGGGAAGGGCCCCAGATCGATCTGTCTCAAAAGGTAAACCCCCCCCAAAAAGGAAAAAACACTTTGGGGCTGTCCTTTGGCTTCCCTTTCTACCAACACCGCAAGGTCCCAGAGCCCCATCCCCTCTCCAGCCCAATCACCCACGCTTTCCTCAAGATTCGGCTACGTATGTCGAGCTCAGGGATACAACGAGCGCTCCCATGAAAGGCCTTTACCAGCTCGCCTATTTCCAACTTGGGTACTACAGTCATTTGTGCACTCCCCTTGTAAAGAAGCGAGCACGTGCTCTTGTCAGGTGAGCTCGTTACAAGGGACCCAAGAAAAAAAGCTGTTTCCCTTCGTGTCTTTAGAACAGCCCAAAAAATGGCGCCGTCAAATGCTTCCTGGTTCTCACCCCTGTCAGAACATCGTGGTTTCCTGTCAGGGGATCTGGTTTCTTGATTCAATCCCAACACCAGAGGACCAAGAAAGCAGACACAAGTTGCCGCAAGGATTCGAGATCTGGGTGCCTGTTTTTGGTGGTACCCCGTTAAAAGAAAAAGGAACCAAAAGAAAAAAAACACCATTTTGGTGGGTCCCCCCAAAAAAGACACACCCAAATGGGTGTCACCCACTGCAAAAGAGTTAAAAAATAAAAATAACAACAATAATAATAGTAATACTAATAATAATAACACTAATAACAATAATAAAACCTCAGGCGATATCCCCAAAAGCACCACACCCTCCCAGAAACCTCGCACAACACCCCGGACCCACCTCACCGCCGGTGTTGCTGAGGATGCCGCCTTGCAACTTTATAAAGCAAAGCTAAGAGTGACAGCGCAATCGGGCCCGACGGTGCAATGGGCCCCGATCGGTGCCCGACGTTGCAATCGGGGCCCGATCGGGCGCGATGGTCCCGTGGTGCAACCCCAGCCACCCATATTGTAGCTCAACGCCGGTTTTCCTTAGGATGCGGCCTTACAGCTGTATCTAGCAAAACTAGGCTATGCCAGCTTGGTACAGTTGACGGGGCCCGACTGAGTCGGGCCCCGATCGGGGCGCCCGACGATGCAATCAATCGGGCCCCGACCTGGGCCCGGTGAACCTCGCAAACCGTCCTCGTGGAACCCTCGTAAAACTCAGTGTGAAACTTTGTTGGAAACTTTTCTCAGGGCTGCCCCATAGCGTTTGTAGAACCTGGTGGAAACCTCGTGGAGCGTTTTTCTGGTGGAACGCTGGTGGAACGTGGTGGAACTGTGGCGGAACCCTTGATCACGCCCCGGACCACCCTGGACCACCCCGGAGCCTATCTGAACTAAAAACTTTCAGCTGTTGCGTTGCGGGGGAAAAAACACAAAAACCACGGGGATCCCGGCCGCCAAGCCCCGGCCGGAGCCCAGGTCAACAAAGCGCCGGAAGATGTCCCCAACCCCACGGCGGCAGACCCGGTCCTCGAGGCGCAGGGCGAACCCGACAGCAAGTTCAAAAGCCGGCACGCACGCGAGCACTCACTCACACTGGATGGATTGGGTGTGGGAAATGGAATCCACTGTGATACAAAGGGCTTCTCAAAGACTAACCCCCCATGTGAAGGGGGAGATTCCCAAAAGTATCACAGAAGTTGGGGATAAACCCCTTGACCCCACAACCCTGCACTGGATGGATTGGATGGACATGCGGGTTATTTTGAAATGAGTGGACTTGTCGCCGAAGTAGCACCAATGCCTGGGCCTGCACACACACACACACACACACACACACACACACACACACACACACACACACACACACACACACACACACACACACACACAGCTACATCACAGCTACACACGCTACTTGCGAGCGCCAGCCCTCGCTTTCTCTCACTCTTGCTCTTGCTCGCTCTCTCCCACTCTCTTTCTCTTCGCTCTCTCATATGAGAGCGGCAGGAGTTCTTGCCCCTTGCTGTCAAGGTTCCAGGAGGTAGGCGAAAGCCTCCACTTGCACGTTGCCTTATTCTCAAGGCGACTCCAGGGACTTGCGCATGGTAGTAGCCGAAGTGCAATTTCGAGAATTCAAACAGAGATCATAGAATTGGCCAGCTTTGTTTCCCATCAGAGAAGCAACTGAACATGTTCTAAACCCCCCCCCCCCTGTGGGGGGTGGGGTGGGTGGTGGGGTGGTGGGGTGGTGGGGTGGCCCAACCCCCCCCCCCCTGTGGGGGGTGGGGTGGGTGGTGGGGTGGTGGGGTGGTGGGGTGGTTGGGTGGTTGGGTGGTTGGGTGGTTGGGTGGTTGGGTGGTTGGGTGGTTGGGTGGTTGGGTGTCGGAGTTGGTTTAGGCTTGGTGGGTTGGTTTAGGGTTGGTTCAGGGTTGGTTCAGGGTTGGTTTGCGGTGAGTTTCGGGTGGGTTTGGGTTTTGGGTTGATTTAGGCTTAGGGTTGGGGTTAAGGAGGGGTTGCAGGGTGGTTTGGTTTAGGGTAGGATGTTGCGAGAGGTGCGGGGGTGTTGGTTCACGGGGTGAAAGGGGGTCTGGGACCGAAGCTGCAGGGCTCGCACGGTACTGGACAGCATCCCCAGCATTGCCAGCATCATCCCCAAGATGCGGATGGAATGGGGGGACCATACCATTGGGGGGGGGGGGGGTACGTGGCCCAGGGACTGGTACATATATACGTATATACATACACATAAATGTACACATACTTTGAACTTGCCACAGCTTGACCATAGGATCCAGAAAACCGGCACGCGTCCAAAACGGAAAACTCTGCCAGATTATACCACAAATGCTGATTTGGCAGGGTCTGATCTTGCCACTTCCGAATTTGTTCTGACAACAAGCTGCAAACTGTGGATTCCGGCATAAACCTGCAGGCGAACTCAAAACGTGTCAAGGATCAAGAGAGCCGTTTCAACTTCTGGTGACCGTCCCGCAACCCTTCTCTTCAGAAAAAGGGCCAAAGCTTGGAGGACACTAGTAGTGCCTCAAAAGAAGCTCACGACTAGTAGGCTTGATTCTCAGCCACCACTCTACAAGGCTGGTCAACTACAGAAAATCTAAGCCCGGGCCCAAGGAAAAAATGGTCGGATAGTCAATTCTATCAACCCCATGTCCTAGGTATAGTGACTTGCGGGTTCAAAAAAATCGCTCTTGTGCGTTCTCACAAGTAATCCTGGCTTTCTACCGATTGGTTCAGAGCTTGCCATGTTCAAAGTGCAGCCGCCAATGTGTGCGTGTGTGCTGCTCGCAAAAGGCGGTGAACACGTCCATGCGTGTTAACACATACCCGAGGCCGAGCTCGAGTTGACATTCAGGGAAGTGTCAGAATCAAATGTCAGCAGCTTGCAGTTGACTTCTATACGCATCCAAAGATACGACCTGACAAACTGCCACAGCCGAGCTTATGAAAGCTTGAAACTGGGGCATTTCGTTCTTGAGCTGATCCTTGATACTACACGCAACTCACACAACCTGATGACATGTTTTTGGGAAATCGCCAGCAAAAAAAGATGCTGGTTCATGCCGTGCCGCCGCCTGCAGGAATTTCTTTCGCCCAGTTCAAACCCAGATGCTTGGAGGCTCCTCACGTCGTAACCTTGAAATGTCCAAGTCATTCAGAGGCTGAGACAAGGCCCCCCCCCCTTTTCCCATGGCCGGTTTAGGTTTCGTCCGGTGTCTGGGTGTCCCAGTGGCCCTCTTGCAAGGCCCCCTGCAGCTGCACATGCGGGCGTGGCTGGTCCAGGGCCTCCGCCAAGCTGCGGCAGTGCCCTGAAGCCGAACGAGAGTGGTAGGCGTGGTCATCCCGATTTTTCACGGACCTTTCGATCAACCCCCCCAAAAACGCCTCTTTAAAGTGATCCGTGGGATGTGGTTGGGCAATCTAAAGATCCAAAGGCTTTTCTTGGGTAAACCAAAAGGTTGTTCAAACATTGGCTGAATGGCGTTCACCTGCACAAACCCAGTTCACCCGTTCTCCGCTTGTGGCAGCCCTAAGTACAGGCTCAGCTGCTTTGTACTTGGCTGCTGTCTCCGCCATATTCTGGATCACCCCAGGTGACAACAGCGCCGGATTCAAGAATAGCAGCAAAAGCACAAGAGGTTGCTTGGATGAGAAGGACGTTCCTCAGCTGCTCTTGCACCTGGCTGCTGTCTCCGCCCCAACCTGGATCACCCCAGGTCACAACGGCCCCAGATTCAAGAATGGCCGCAAAGGCACGAACAGTTGCTTGAATCTGCAGGACGTTTGTCAGCTGCTCTTGCACCTGGCGGCTGCCTCCGCCGAAATCTACATAACCCCAGGTCACAACAGCCCTAGATTCGAGAATGGCAGCAAAGGCACGAAGAGTTGCTTGGATGTGCCGGACGTTCCTCAGCTGCTCTTGCACCTTGCTGCTGTCTCCGCAGCTATCTGGATCATCCCAGGTCACAACAGACCCAGATTCAAGAATGGCAGCAAAAGCACAAGAAGTTGCTTGGATGTGCCAGACGTTCCTCAGCTGCTCTTGCACCTTGCTGCTGTCTCCGCAGCTATCTGGATCATCCCAGGTCACAACAGACCCAGATTCAAGAATGGCAGCAAAAGCACAAGAAGTTGCTTGGATGTGCCAGACGTTCCTCAGCTGCTCTTGCACCTTGCTGCTGTCTCCGCAGCTATCTGGATCATCCCAGGTCACAACAGACCCAGATTCAAGAATGGCAGCAAAAGCACAAGAAGTTGCTTGGATGTGCCAGACGTTCCTCAGCTGCTCTTGCACCTTGCTGCTGTCTCCGCCGCTATCTGGATCACCCCAGGTCACAACTTCAAGAATGGCAGCAAAAGCAAGGTCAGTTGCTTGGATGTGCTGGGTGTTCGTCAGCTGCTCTTGCACCTGGCTGCTGTCTCCGCCGCTATCTGGATCACCCCAGGTCACAACCTCGCCATCGGAGCCATTCAAAGCAAATACCCTTTCATTGGTAGCCAGCTTGCCAAGCTGCGCAATCGCAACCACCACATCCCCATCTCGCAACCGGGCCTCTGTCACTGTGCCCGTCAAATCCAGTTGCTGGCCGTTCGCAATGAGCTTCAAGCGACGCTTGAAATGCTGCTGCGCTGCAGCCTTCAGCTCACTGATGGGCGTCGCCGGTGAGACTTCTATGGAGAAACCATGCCACACCGCAGGCTCAAAGTCACCTGCTTGGACACAGTTGCGTCTCAAAATCCCGCGCTCATGGGTTTCGTGCACCACGCATTGATGTCCCGACAACCCAAACCAATGAACACCACACACCCCGTTCCACTCGCAACACCACCGGCCTAGACCCCCGTTCTTCTGCCACCCGCCTGGGTCGAAGAGCGGCCACACCTCCGCAGCCGCGGCCGCGGCGTGCCCGGGCCCGAAGCGGTAGGCGGCCACCGAGTTCTCGGCGCCTCGCGGGGGTTTCTGTGGGGGGCGGGTTTTGGGCGCGGGCCGTTGGGTCAGGCGGTTGCGGTGAGCAGGGCGCCAAGTCGAACCCGCAAACCCGCTCCAAGACACCCCCAAAGTGGTATCTGAATGGGGCATCTTTGGGGAATGGTTTGTCGCACCCCTTGGCAATATCAAGGAAGATCAAGACGGTTGCACGGCACATGTTTGGACCCTGAGCGAAAGATGTGCTTTACTTGCGTTTGATTCATGTTGGGCTGTGCCGAAATGATGGGCAACTTCCGTTGGCGTTCATGCTGATAGCCGAAGAAAAGGTCCCTAGGTACCTGAGTAATTCTGGAGTATGTTGGCAACGTCTTGACTCGGGAACGAAAACAAATGGATCATTCATTGCGGGCTGCCTGGACTTGTTGGATTTAGCTTAGGGGGGACAAACAGGGGTAGTTCCGTTCAACAGGGTCGGATAGCTGAGGTCAACAAATGTTGACATCTGTGGCCAGTTGGCCTGTTTGGGATGTTGCGGGTGATAACGGAGTGTAAGGGAGTGTAAGGGAGTGTAAGGGAGTGTAAGGGAGTGTAAGGGAGTGTAAGGGAGTGTAAGGGAGTGTAAGGGAGTGTAAGGGAGTGTAAGGGAGTGTAAGGGAGTGTAAGGGAGTGTAAGGGAGTGCAATGATGTGACGGAGTGCGACGCAGCGTATCAGGATGTAACAGAGCGTAGCGAAGCGTAGCGAAGGGTAGCGAAGCGTAGCGAAGCGTCTTTGGGCGTGGGCGCAACAGAGCGTAGTGGAGCACTGAGTGCAAAAGTGCAAACCCAGTTTCACGGAGTGTAACCATTGAGCGGCAGGCGGGAAAAAAAGCGCAGTGCGAGAATTGCAGCGGAGAGTATAGCGGAGTGTGACAAATGTGGTAAAGTGGCGCAAAGTGTAAGTGAGCGAAGCAATGGCACGAAAACGTGTAACAAAAAGTAGCGGAGCGGATGGAAATGTGACACAGGGTAGCGAATTGCCATGGAGGGTAACGGAATAGCGGAGTGCAACGGAGCTTCAACAGCCGAAAGGCACTCCTTTGTAGCGAGTGCAGCGGCCTTTGGTAAGAAAGCTACAAATTGTGGAAGCTGCAAAACATCAGCCAACCAAAGCACACACAATCACACACAACGAGAGTTGCACTGCTTACAGTCGTACAAACCCAGCAAAGTCACACTCCGCAAAGTCACACCGACACGCCACCGACTCACGTGTACATTGATTCTTACTCGCAACCAGCTTTGGTAAAACCCAGCTTTTGGTACCGTCAGAAGTCTCTGGCCGTGCCTTTCTGGGCCCAAGGGCAATTCTCGCGCAGGCCGCGCCAGACTTCGATCAGCGGGAACTTGTGGCAACTCGCCCAAGCCTCGCTCACGAGTCGCGCGAGGTGCGCCGCGAGCAGAGAGTCGCAAGCTCGGAGCTCGCGCTTTGGGCCCATTTGGGGTGTGTCTCAAAGTGGAAACCCAAATTTTGATTGAGCCGGAGGGCTGCAAACAAGATCTTAACTTTTGCCCAATGGGTTGTAAAAGGGAACCCAACCAAGAGCGGGTTTTACCACCAAAAACGGAACCCTCAATAACAAGACACGCCCATTTGCGGGTGCCCTTTCAATCCACGTCTGCCAGGGCCTCACTGTCAGCCCAGGTTGGCTGTACGTAGAAGCACCAACCCCCGGGACAACAAAGCAGAGACCCCACACGGCAAGAATGGCATTAGGGTATCAAAAAGATGTTGCTTCACAACCGTTGGTGCCAGTGTGAGCACAAGACACACAGGAACAACCTTGAACGTACATCTGTTTGCTACACCCTGCTTTGCAGCACCCTCCCACAAAGGCCTGTACAACAGCACCGTGCAACAGCCAACAACAGGACCCTACCAAAAGGTTTGGTCACCCCCCTCCAACAACACCCGTTGTGTCGCACCCTTCAAAGCAGCACCTTGCGGGACTTTGCAGGCTCTGGCCAATTCCCAGCCGCACTCACCAGCACCCTTCCCAAATCCCTTTTCTCTGCTTGATGGCATTGTGCCCCTTTGGCTTTCTATCTGCGACCACACATGGCTGGGCTGAAGGCACGGTACTTCTCTCTTGTTGAAGAAAATGTCGCAATTCAGCTTGCGCCGAGACAAAACTGCTCGCTCTAGGCTGGTGGCACGTGCTTCCATCTCCAGCATGTGCATGTGCAGCCTCACACGGAGAGCTGGACGGGTGAAGTGCCAACCGGCTGCGTGCCAAAAATTGGCCCCGATGACTGAGATCGCCAAGAGCCTGAGCCATTGAAATGAGAGCTTGAGCGCTCAAGCTCTGTGGAAGGCCCGGGGGCCTTCGGATTTCTTTCGAAGGGCTACAGCCGAGTTTAGAATCAAGCACCCGGGAGCTATGATTTGTAGTTATCCGTCCCTTCAGCGAGGTTCAGTCTGTACAGCAAAGAACTGCACACCCACACGGACCACCCCTTCCGTCGCAGTTCCCTTTCCACATCACCGGCTTCCCTAAAAGGGGCGGCTTACCTGGCAGGTAACCGTTCTTGCGGCCCACCAACTCTCTTTGCAAAACCACTTGAGGTGAGTTGCTGCTGTGGTTGCACAGCAATCACTGGTCGATGATAACGGACGGCACGGGTCACATTAGGCTGGTAAGAAACCAGGATGAATGGGTAAGTTGCAGCAGCTACCTACCAGCCCCCGGGGACCGGGAGGTGCTAAATGAGCACTGGTTCATTGGTTCCCAAAATCATAAGTGAGATGTTCCTGCTACATATCAGAGTGGAAACTCACTAATATGGAACATGGGTTCCTATAACACATGATCACTGTGTTCAGCCCTAACACTCGGAATTTGTTTCTTGACCACTATCGTGGTGGTAAGCAGCAACACGCAAATTGGTGTCCTTTTAGGTAAAATAGATGGCCCTGGTAAATGGAATCAAATCCATCTCAACCAGTGCCGTCTAGTTCCAATCCAACTAGCCTAAAAAGGACACCTATGCGCAACATGCTGCCAAAAACCGGGCGCCAAGCCGCAGCCCTTCGGGTTCCGAACTTCCGAACGCGGGCCGGCGGTCCCAAAAAATGGCCGCCTCAGGGCCTTCACAGTGCCATCCTCAAAGTCACCCCAGCGGAGCGTCGCTGACATAAACCCGCCCTCGCACAGCAGCGACCTGGACGAGAGCAGCCCTCGGAAGAACAAACCGCAAACATGAGACAGTGCGTCTCCAGAGGACCCCCCCCCCAAAGGTGTTCCTGCTGGTGTCCCTTTAAAACTACCCAACACATGGGGACCCTCAAAGAAAGACACACCCACATGACAGAGTGGCCTTCACCAAGAGAAGATCATCCTACAGGCGCCCAGCCAGCCAATCATCTCTGCGTCAGTTGAGCATTGCGACCTTAAGTTAAACCAACTGGCAGGGAACCCACATCCCCCCCCCCCACATCCCTGCCAATTGGTTCTTGTTGCCCCTGGTCGATGTCCATCCGGCCTGATGAGCTGCGTCCCGCTGGAAGTGGCCTTCACCTAAGGAAAAGAGAGCCACAGGCGATCCCGGGTGCTGGGCGTGCGCTTGAGGTTCCCGGTTTAGCGGGTCAACAGGAAAGCCGAGGCGGATCGCCAACTTGGGGCTCCCGAATTTGGAGAAAACAGCAGCTACCCGCAGCTGTTTGCAACGGTTGCGGATGGCGGCGTTTATCTAGGGACCAGATGCCACGTCAGTGTGAATGTCAAAGAAGCATGCGATGGTTTGCAAGTTTGGAACTCAGAAACACAAATCCAATCCTTGTTTCCCTTTGCCTCCTTTTGAAAAGATGGCATCAACGCATAAGCAATTAGGACCAAGCTGATGCCAGTGGGCATACAATCCTCTTCGCGTTCTCCTAGGCACAAAGCTTTGTTGAATGAGCAACTTTTAGAACCCACAACCACACATGTATGTCCAACCACTCTGACCAAAAAGGACACCTATAGGAAGTACAGACCTGAACGCTCCCCTGGCAACAACATCCTTTGCGCAACGGTGGCAACGGTGTGTCGTTTTCTAAGGGCTACCCCTTTTGGGTTGCGTTTGAAGGGAAACTACGGGAAGCGAAGCCATTTGATGTTCTCTCAAGACCTAACCCCCATGTCATGTTAAAAGCGCCCTGGGCTGCTTCAAGCTCACTAACACATTCGCAACCAGTCGATCAACCCCATGCAGCGAGTCCTTACACCCCAACAATACACGCGCCCGCTCGCCCGCCCGCCCTCCCGCCCATGCCGAACCCCATCCCCCCCCAATCCGGGCCTCACAAATTTGGCTGAGCTCTAGTTGCTCGCTCGGGGCCACGTCCTCACCCAAAAAAGACACAACGGGCGGAGCAGGGCTTGGGCGGGGGACGCACAAGCAACGAGCGTGCCCCGCGCGGAGTGCGCGTAAGATCAAGGGTGACTGAAGTTAATGACATAGCCTGAAACAGGACCAATCGCATGTTTATCCGGAAGAAACCCAGCCGTCCGGTTGCGTGTGTCGTTTTTGGGGGACCCACTAAAATAGTTTTTTCCATGTGGTTTTCCCTTGCAACCACCAAACAAGGGGTGCCCTCAAACAAAACAAAAAACGCGTCGTCCGTTTGTCCACGCGGCCACGTTGAAGCGGAAGCCTTTGCCGCTCTCCATGGACCAGCGCCCCAGCACTCGCACACGGGAGGGATACCTGCGGGAGTTCCACAGCCTCGCCTAGATTGGCTGTGGGTCAAAAATAGGTACCCCAAATGGAACCCTGGTAAATGGACAAGAGGACTAAAACCTGCGGCTTTTTCTGCTGGCTCTATTTTGACCCATACCCACTTTGGCAGGGGCTGGGTATCAAACAAAACTTGGCTGGCAATCCGACAAAAAACTGAGGGTGGGCTAAGATTCAAATTTGGAAGTGGGGACACATTGGCAAAGCGCGAAGAGCGGCTATACCCAAAATGACAAAATGACAAAATGCATAGGATCCCAAACTTGCCCTAGACAGAATCATGGGCACATTCCTTCTCTTCAACAAACATGGATCTAAAGTTGTCTTGCCCACTCACGATGTTGCAGAGCAACTCAGCAAGGCGGTGGAGTCAAGAAAAAGTGGCGCGGCGGAACTGTTCTCTCGCACACCTGTGGCAAAGAACATGACATTCTGCCCGCCCGCAAATGTTTTCGGCTGCAAGGTACACGGCATCATCTCCAGGATCGCGGCTTGCGCATGGAAGATGACACTTCATGGCGCCATCAAATGCCATGTCACGTGATGCGATATCATGTCATGAAAATGGATGAGACTACCACAGCACACACACACACAGCACACTAAGCGTTTGTGCACGCTCCTTGGTGTGATGCCAGATTCGGGCATGTCTTCTCAAATTGCTGCTAGAAGATGCCCACGTGTCATGTCTCCAGGGCATAGTGTCGCCTTATTGTATTTTTCGTCTCTCCAATTGAATCAAACATCGTGATATGTTAGTAGCTTGTAGAGACGTGTATTCGTAACATTACTATAGTCGAAACTCCTGTGCATGGGGGCTTGTCATGGTTCTGTACATCAGAGAGGGAGGCACACCCCTCTTCACCCAGGGACGTGGAAAACATATCCTTTCCTGTGATACCAACATGGGTCATTGTCATGACTTCACTTTGAAGAGATCCTCTTGGCGTTACCCTCCCTCCAACAATCATGGAAACTGACAGGAGGGTCTGGGACCACTTTCCTTTCTGGAAGCCCTCTGTCCACTTCCATTGCACAAAAATTACTAAAAGCGCTGTCGCATCCCGCGCCTTCCGTGAAGTCTCACTTCAAAGGCGCCCTCCTCAAATGCATCCTTCGCCGGCAGCGGAAAGATCCTGGCGCCGGCGTGGTACAACGAGAAAGTTAACCACCCAACCACCCAACCACCCAACCAACCAGAACACCTTTGCTGGAATCATTGTGCCATACATATATATTTAGAAGAAGAAAAAAAGGAGAAAAAAAGAAGAATAAAAAAAACGTGGCGGAATAGGACTTGGCTTTGGGGATTGTGTTTTTGATTTTTCCCAAAAAGGGGCAAGCCCTCTTGATGCAAAATGAAAAAGCTTTGTAGCGGAATCCTGACCCCGGGATGCTACACCCAGCCAATTCATATCTTGTGTTTGTGGTTTTCAAGTTTTAGAATTTGCAAGTTGTTGTTTCACGGCGTTTGCACTTTTGACTTTTGTTCAAGTTGTTTCGCACTTTTCTCGAAGTTTTCATTCTGTGTCCTGTTCTCGCACTTTTCGAGTCTTCAAGTTGTCGCGCGCTTTCCGCATTTTTTCTAGTGTTCGTGTGTTTTTATTCTCGTCCAGCTTGCGCTCTTTTCGCAGTGTGGAATTTCCGCGTTGTTTTGCAGAACCGAATTGTTTCCTTGCTTTCCCTTGTTGCTCGTGTCCAGTGTTCGCGCTTCTTGCAGTTTTTGGGCTTTTGAGTTGTTGTGGACGTTTCGAGTGTTCACGCTTGTCGCAATTGGGGTGAAGGTCCCCCAAAGTGCTCCGGATCCGGGTTGCGCACCCCCCAAAACACATCAACCAGTGATTCTCCTTCAAGAGGAATCAAACATTCGGCTGCCGAGCGTTTTCCGTTTTCCGCAGAAAAGATCGCCCTCTCCCCACCTCTCCAAGTCGTCTCCCTCCCATTCGCCGAGAGTCTCATCCCGCGGGCTCATTGGCCTGAGCCCCAGCGAGCAGGAGAACTTCTCCACTTGCCTCGGGCGCCACGTGCGCCGCGTGTTGCGCGCGCGCGCGTGCTGACAGCCAAAGGCCGAATCATCCTGAGATCGGAGCTTTTCACTGTCATAGCAAACAGGGAAAAAATGAAAGGTCATCGAGGAGAAGAAAACAAAGTGTCTGCCGTTTGGTGGCGAGAACCCATCATGGCTACTGCACCAGAACCTGCTGGAGGTTGGAATTGGCATAAACTCAAAGGCGTTGAATCAATATGATCCTTCCTGGCAGCCCCTATGCCTGACCAGTACAACCTCGCCTGATCGGCCCGCTCACCCCCCCAAAACAAGTTCTTAGGAACATGGGGAATGACCCCCTGCCAACAATCATCGCGTTGCCAAAGTCAGGACATGGTTGTAGTAAAACATTCCTGGTGGCTTGCCGGGCAAGCCAATCGTATCTTGCCAGGTCTTCACTCGGTCTGAAAAGCCGACACAGAAAGCCACCTCCTCGTGCTGAATGCGTCGTCTGGGCCGCAGCCAAACCCATGGGTCACAGTGGCAGGCCAAAACACCGGTGGGAAGAAACCAGGAAGAACCCAAAAATCCCATAGAGATCCCACCCAAGCTTCACACTTGAAATAAGCTAGGAGGCCGAAAAGGTGGCTCAAGTTTTACCTTTCGAGAGCTGACAGAGAAGCTTAACCTTGGGCCGGAAGGGAAAAACTATACTGGGTGCATAGGGTTAGCTGCTTGCTTGCAGGTGGTCATCCACCAAGCTTACTTGCTCCGAGCACTTGCTTGGGTATGCCGTCAAAACAAGAAGACCCCCTCCATTTGGCCCCCGTCACCACACCTAGAGCACCACTCCCAAGGCCACCCCCGGTTCGCGACGGGTGGCTGGGCGCCGGTAACGATGTTCTCCAAGCCGAACTTGCAGTCATCCCTTGCCAGGTGCGTGTGGGGTGTGTCTCAAAATGGGTCGTGCCATATGGTGAACCAATCTGAAAAGGTGCCCATGGCGATATCTCCAACAGCATGCGGTGCTCTTTTTAGTGCCTCGCGGAAGTTGAACCCTCGTGCAACCCTCGTGGAACCTTACCTCAGGGGCTTATATCTGGGCTGAGACGCCAAAGCTTCCAGCTGTTGGGGAACCTTCCTTGGAACCTTCCTGGAACCTTCCACCTGGCCTGCACCAGACCGCTCCGGAACCTCCCATACCTTCCTTGAACCTTTCACCTGACCCCGAACCTCCTTGAACCTTACACCTGGCTGCGCCGGAACATGGAACCTTCCTTGAACCTTACACCTGGCCTGCACCCAGACCACTCCGGAACCTCCGCAACCTGCCTTGAACCTTACACCTGGCCTAACCCGGAACCTCCAGAACCTTCCTTGAACCTTACACCTGGCCTGCACCAGACCACCCCGGAATCGACCACCCCAGAACCTCCGGAACCTTCCTTGAACCTTACACCTCACCTGCATCAGACCACCCTGGAAACTCCGGAACCTTCCTTGAACCTTACACCTGGCTTGCCAGACCACCCCGGAATCTCCGGAACCTACCTTGAACCTTACACCTGGCTGCGCCAGAACATGGAACCTTCCGTACCTGGCCTGCATCAGACCAACCAGAACCTCCAGAAGCTTCCTTGAACCTTACACCTGGCTGCACCAGACCACCCCGAAACCTCTGGAACCTTCCTTGAACCTTACACCTGGCTTACCAGACCACCCCGAAACCTCCGGAACCTGCCTTGAACCTTACACCTATAACCGGGAACCCCCGAAACTCTGGAACCTTCCTTGAACCACCTTTCCCTGGCTTTGCCTTGAACCCGCCGGAACCTTCCTTGAACCTTACACCTGGCCTGCACCAGACCACCCCGAAACCTCTGGAACCTTCCTTGAACCTTGCACCTGGCTTGCCAGACCACCCCGAAACCTCCGGAACCTGCCTTGAACCTTACACCTGGCTGCGTGAGCAGAACCCGGAACCTCCGGAACCTTCCTTGAACCTTACACCTGGCCTGCACTGGCTGCGCCAGAACATGGAACCTTCCTTACCTGGCCTGCATCAGACCAACCCGTTGAACCTTACACCTGGCCTGCACCAGACCACCCCGAAACCTCTGGAACCTTCCTTGAACCTTACACCTGGCTTGCCAGACCACCCCGAAACCTCCGGAACCTGCCTTGAACTTTACACCTGGCTGCGCCAGGCCTCAGACCAACCCGGAACCTCCGAAACCTTCCTTGAACCTTACACCTGGCCTGCATCAGACCAACCCGCAACCTCTAGAACCTTCCTTGAACCTTACACCTGGCTTGCCAGACCACCCCGGAATCTCCGGAACCTACCTACACCTGGCTGCGCCAGAACATGGAAGCTTCCTTACCTGGCCTGCATCAGACCAACCCGGAACCTCCGGAACCTTCCTTGAACCTTACACCTGGCCTGCACCAGACCACCCCGAAACCTCTGGAACCCTCCTTGAACCTTACACCTGGCTTGCCAGACCACCCCGAAACCTCCGGAACCTGCCTTGGACCTGGCTGCGCCAGAACATGGAACCTTCCTACCAGACCACCCCGAAACCAGAGGAACCAACCTTACACCTGGCCTGCACCAGACCAGCCTGGAACCTCCGGAACCTTCCTTGAACCTCTCACCTGGCTTGCCAGACCACTGCCTTGAACCTTACACCTGGCTGCGCCAGAACATGGAAGCTTCCTTACCTGGCCTGCATCAGACCAATGCGGAACCTCCGGAACCTTCCTTGAACTACACCTCGCTTGCCAGACCACCCCGAAAGCTCCGGAACCTGCCTTGACCCTTACACCTGGCTTGGCCAGAACATGGAACCTTCCTTACCTGGCCTGCATCAGACCAACCCGGAACCTCCGGAACCTTCCTTGAACCTTACACCTGGCCTGCACCAGACCACCCCGGAACCGCCGGAACCTTCCTTGAACCTTACACCTGGCTTGCCAGACCACCCCGAAACCTCCGGAACCTGCCTTGAACCTTACACCTGGCTGCGCCAGAACATGGAACCTTCCTTACCTGGCCTGCATCAGACCAACCCGGAACCTCCGGAACCTTCCTTGAACCTTACACCTGGCCTGCGCCAGACATCCCCGAAACCTCCGGATTGAACCTGACTCCAGAGCTCCCCCAAGCCACCCCCAAACCTTATCTGTGCTGAGACCCCTTAGCTTTCAGCTGTTGGGGACAATCTCCCCACTCTCCATGTAGACACCTTCAAGCATCTGCGCCATGCTTCATCTCGAGCTTCCCGTCAAAAAATAATACCTTAGCAGAACCCACGCCTTGAGACAGCCACTTTATCATCAGGGCATTGACCATTTGATTTGCAAAAGAGCCTTTTGGCTCGCAAAAGGAACAGTTGCCATGTGTCGAACGGGCTCCGCCTGATGAAGTCCTTCCAGTCCTCGGAGATGGGCTCCGGCATCGGCAGCGGGCCCTGAGGGTGAGAGTCGTGGCGTCAGCCAAATGCTACCCCTTCAAAGGTCACATGGCTTGGCATCTTTGTTCAAGCACCACTCGTGCTTTTGGGCACAACTTTGGCGTATGAGGGTTGGTCAAATGGTCATTTGGTCAACCCCCCCGTATTTTTTTTAAGAGTAAGTTGGAATCACGTTGAGGGGGGAATTCCAATTCCACGTGTGTTGCCAAGAAGTAGTCTTCAAGACCCTGAAATTAAATCGGAACCGCAAGCCCAAAAGAATCTACCGAACCCAAACTGGACCAAAAGACCACCTTTGTCAGGATCTCCATGTCGCCCTGGCTCTCCAAGTGCCTTTTTTTGAGGGTACCCTTTGTTTGTGGTGAAGGGGAACCAAAAGGAAGACAACCATTTTGGAGGATCGAGAAAAAGACACGCCGAAAGCTGGTTTTCCTCGTTACCATCTCTAGCAACCCCAAAGCCGGCCTCTCGACCACGGCCTGTCCCCGCCTCCAGGGATCCAGGCTCTCCTTGCAATGCCTCAGATTGAGGCAAGCTCGCAGGTAGGAGAAGCTTGAATTGGTGAAAACAGCTGCTGAACAAGCTGAAGGAGGAAAACTCGGGAACGTAAAGAAGGAAATCGTACCCCAGCCTTCGAGATGCGCCTTCCCGTCTGCAGTTGGTTGAAAAGGAAATCAAAGGCACAACACCAAACTCTTACTCTTCTGCAAGGGTTGATGGGCATCCTTCAGCCGCCTAGTACCCTCCCATCAACAGTCAGCCACGGGAATCTCACCAAATCATCGTTGGTGATTGCGTCGGGAAACTAAGCCCCTTTCGTGAAGTCGCGATCAAATTTGCCCGACACACTGTGACTTCGAGCGGGGATGCATCAGGTTCCTCATATGTCCCCCCAAAGGAGGCTCACTGCAAAAGAGCCCAAAAGGTCTTCCAAGCACACGAACCGGAAGGGTAACAGGAAACCCCTTCTTTGCGGGGGGGGAGGGGGGGCGGAAAAAATAAGAGCAGAGGACGCCGATCCATCCCCAAGCCCATCCCCAAACCCGCCTCCCAGTCCCAGGAGCCCGGTCCACCGCCTCTGCCACCGCCTCCACGGGCGCCTGCAGCACCAGCCGCAGGACCAACAGCTCGGCCATCGCCCATCGAAAAACCCGCGCTTCGGCGCCCAAAGCGCGGAGCCAAGGGTTCCGCCGGGCCCGCCCGCCGGGATTTGTTCTGCTCCCGTGGGGTGATTTTTGTGGCTGTTTTTCACCGTGGTTTGTTCCGTGGTTGTCTGTGTGCTTTCCGCGGCTTTTCCGCGGCTGTTCGGGTTGTTCCGTGGTTGTCCACATGGTTTTCCATGTTCTTGTCCGTTTTGTGTTCGTGTTGGGGATGATGAGGTAAGGAGATGAAGCGAGAGTGAGGTGCTTCCCCTCGAACGTAAACCATTTTCAGGTGGCTGGCAGATTAAGGCTGGTCGGGGCTGGCAAGCTGACGGGGTTGACAATGAGCTGTCCAGCGTAAGCATTTCTCAATCATCAAGCCACGAGGACATCCAGTTCACTCAAGCAGGCATGTCCAAGCAAAAAAATGATTTGGTCTGTTGACATTCTATTCAAGCAATCAATGAAATGCGTCGCGCATCAAACATGTCCTACCGTTCTCATCAGTACCCGATCTGTACGGCCACTCCTGTCTGACATGCAACCTGAGAGGTCTGATGGGGGCCACCAGGCTTCACATGTGGCCAACCCTTTTGGAGGTTTTGTGAGAGGCAAACCAAATGAAAACCTATTTGGGGGTTCCCTATTTGGAGCCACACGCGCATTTGTTTTTGGGAGGATACTGATGAGTTGGGTGCCATGAAAGGACGCATGGAACAGGCCAGGTGGGATCGTTTCTACCTTGATGCCAAATGTCCTTTAGCCGCGACGAGTTGACCATGTGACCCATCAAGGGCAGCGGACCACAGCAGTGACCGTGTCCGCTGGGCGAATCGATCGGGAGTCATCCAAACGTAGGCTTCCGAGAATAACACTTCTTTGTGTTGCTTGGCACCTTGGCTGTCAGACAGGGGCTTCTGTGGCTTTGCTAGTGGGACCCTGATCTATGTGTCAACAGAACTTGCCCCAGCTCTAAAGATTATTGCAATATTGTTCATGGGCAATCTGCGACTACCGTCCTCAGCTGGTGTAGGACGAAATCAAGATCTCAATAGGGGGCTTAGGACTTGAGTCAGGATTCAACTGGACTAGGACTCTCAGGAGTTGAGCGATCCTTGTCTTTCAACTCTGGAAATTTTATCTTATGGCAAGCAACATGAACATGTACGCATAAATGGATGTCATACTTGAGCCCAGTGGAGCGACTTTTCCAGCGCAAGCCCTGTGCAGAAGGCCTGGCAGGAGTCCGCAAGATTTGGGCACGCGAACCGTCCATTGCAAGCGAACCATTGTGGCGAACTGAAGGCTATGACTTCCCACTTGCAAAAGCCCGGAGGCTAACCACACAATCAAAGAAAGCATGTCAGCCTCTTAGGGTCTCTTTGTAGGCCAATCCAAACCAAATCACTGCACATCCTGCCCACTCCGGCACAATTATCTTTATGTGGGTAAGTCGAGGGATGACAAAACTACAATGAGAAAATTGTGCCATCTACTGTCCCCGAACTGTATCCGCTCAGTTGAGGCCCGCCTTCTCTTACCAAAGCTGGGCATTGTCGAACGGAGATGCAATCTGCGCCTGCAGGGATTGCCCTCATGAGCGCAAACAACGTTTACATGGTGTGATTGCTTGGTCTGCAAAGCCATTGCACGCAAAAAAGTCTGAGAAAAATGAATGGGCCCGCTCCACATCCTCTCGAATTCTCAAACGATAACGTGCATGTCAACCATCCAAATATGATATTTATTGCTACAGGTGTCTTCTCTTTGTGGCTTGGTGGCAGATTGCTGTATGGCCTAGACACCAGAGGGTCCCAAAACCTCACAAATGATGGGTGGCCCAGAGCACATTTCAGCCACAATCAAACCTGGCATTTAGAAAAGAATCGAAAAGGAGATATCCACACCTACTATTCCTGGTTGGGACTGTCCCCCCGCCCACCCTTCATCTACCAAGTTTCTATTGCGGGCATCCGCTTGAAGCAATATCTGCCTATCCTCGTTCCAAGAGTAAGGGAAGCGGACGCCGGCCTTTTTTGTTGGATGGTCTTCCAAAACACTCTGGTCGTCCACTTCCACAGGAAGCCTCGACCTTTGACCCTGATCAGAGTTGCGCGATTCAACTCCCTGCATCTCTGAACACCTATTTAAACGTCCTCCTGCTTATTTCTGTGAGGCCGTTCTTCTAAGCTTGACGTCCCCTGTCAAATGGTGCGAATTCCAACGCCTGCTGCGCCAGCTGCCAGGAAAGCGGGCGCTTCAATGGCTGCTGCGGCACCGCGCATTGCGCCAGGTCTTAGGAAACCCAACACGCCTTCACTTCCGCGAATCGAATCAAGCTCGGATTCGGAGAAAAGAAACCCCCCATGGATTTTGGCAAGGCGCCCCGGAATCGTTGGGTTCCTCGGGCAACCCCGAATCCACCAGGTTGATTCCGGGCTGGGAACATGGTGCAGACTCGTCAGTGCATAGCAATTGCAATCAGCGCATGAAGTTCATGGCCGCAAATGGCTTGCTGTGTCTTCGAAGTTTGGAAGATATCCAGATCCTGTCGACACGCGGAAAACTGCCGTGGACGAACGCCTTTTCGTGGCTCTGGCGTTAGATGGGGATGCGATGCTGAGATGGATTTTGCTTCGCCAGCAATTCTGGCCATGTTGAAATCCTCTGATGGAAGATGTGCAGACTCTGGCTCTAGCAGCTTAAGAAGGCCTCTCACTCAGAACAGATCAGTGGCGGTCAGGAAGCGCTGCTAAACTTCCGCCACCAAGATTTGGGTGCGTGTCTTTCTAGGGCACCTGCAAAATGGTGGTTATCCTTTCGGTTCTCCTCAAGCCAACCCCAAAAAGGGTATCCTCAAAAAAAAACAGACGCAATTAAATCCAGTGATCACTGAGCCAGGGACACTGGCAAGCCGCCTCCACCAGCTGTTCGGGAAGCCGCCAGTCCAAGATCTCGCATCGAACGTTTTCAACAAACAAGCAAAAACGAGCGAGCGATCTGAAAAAGGGGGGAGGGCAATTCACTGGTTCACTTGAAACCATCGCCTTTTGGAGATTCCCTTAGGGCAATGGCTCGGAAACCCTTGGAAACTCAGTTCCGCCAATTCCGAACCGTCCATTGCTCCCTTTTCAGTGGGCTGGGAGCATGGGCGGTTCAGGTTCAGATGAACAGGCTATTCACACGAGCCTTGAAAAATATACACTCGAACGGACATGGAACAAGCAGGTGGTTCCGTCTCCTAGCTTCTTTTAGACAAACACTGGGTAGTTGACCAGCAAGTTCATATAAGGAAGGAAACGGGTTCTAACAAAAGAACCCCTTTTTGGACAAGCAGCGTGTCCCAGTCTCATGCCCCAAGGTTTTCGGCCTTCCGGTGAATCATGCGTTTCATTTTCAGGCACCGGCTTTGGATGTGGTTTATGTCACATACAAACCAATGCAGGCGTGAGGCAGTATATGCCCCTTACAGAACAACGTGAATCAGGACATACCGGGTACGAAGGATTGTCATGGTGGGCGTTGACACTTAAAAGTCCACAGCCTTGAAGAAGGCAGTTACAAAACAGACTCCTGGTCTCCTGTGTCTTCTTTTGTGAGGCAACCGGCAACTAATCAAGAAAAGGGCTCTAAGTGTCCCCCATGCGGCCGGGGGGGGGGGGGGGCGGGCAACATCCAGCCGAGTGGCCTCGTTGGTAAAGCCGCAAATGCAGTTCACACCTCAGCAACTTCGCGCCCGGCATGTGGCTCAAAGATCGCCGGGCAGAAGGTCATTGTGTTTCCACTGTCGTTGGAGATGACCAAAATTGGAGAGCCCCTTTGGATGGCTAGGTGAATATCCTTGTAAGTACGGCTCTCTACATTCTTTCCGAACCATCTAAGTGCCTACCCTTCTCACTAACATCTAAGTGCCTACCCGTTTCATTCACCTACAATACATGCATAACATATGCAACATGTATATAAATATACACATATATAAATATATGTTTATGTAGATGTGTCAGGGTCTGTATTTCTTCATCTGCGCATTTGCACAGTTTGCACAGCTCCTCCAACAAAGGCCCCGGAGCGTGAGGCGTCCCCTCCCTCCAGGACCCGTGCCCGGAGCCACCCGCGAAGGCGGCGAGAAGCTGGAGGGCGACTGCGGCTCCGCAGCCGCCTCATCCCAAACCGGCGGTTGTTATACATATGTATATATGCATGTCTACGTATATAACATATAACATATATATATATATATATATAGCATATATATATATAGCATGTATGTCTGTATGCGTATTTGAGATGCTTGCTTTTTGATTTCTTTGGTTAGTAAGTTAGCTTTTCGAGCGCCGGCGATTGATGGGGATGGATGTTGGACCTTTTCGAGCCCCGGCGATGTACGGCCCATAAACTCCGGGTACAATTGGGACGGGCTTTTGGATGAAGCTTTTGGATGAAGCTGTGGATGGAGGCGTCTCAAAATCGGGGATCATCTCCCTTCAATCACATTGGTGGTTGTATCTGAACTTCACACTACCAGCACACACCCCAGATGGCAACAATCTACAAAAGGTACTCTCTAAGTCGAAGAGATTACCCTTGGAGATAAAAGCGCAATCAGATACATCCATGTATATGCTCGGAACAGACATGTGTGTACTCTCAGAACACGCACATGTCTACACTCGGAACACACATGTGCACACGTGCGAAACACATATATGTACATACAGGTATACACTAGAGAAGGAGAGCAAGCGTGTATACGAACGACAGACACAGACCTGCGCGCTCAAATCACACATGTGCGCCACCCGAACAGCACTCACTCTCGCCAGCGGCACCCTCCAACAGCATCCTATAAGTCCCTGCGTCCTGCATCAGCAGCACCCTCCGACAAGACGCACACCCTGCAACAGCACCCTGCAACAGCACCTTGCAGCAGCACAGGCAACACCCACATGTTTGTGTCGCACCCCCAGCTTGTTTGCTTGAAGTCAGAACCCCTGGTGTTCATCTTGCTTTACAACCTGAAAAAGGCTACCCTCAAATGCAAGCACCCAAGTGGCACGGCTGGTTTCTGGGCCCGCAGTGTATCGCTGCCGTCTGATATAGGCAAGCCTGAAACACTGAAGTATGCCTAGCTAGCTGTCTTGCTCATAGTTCCTTTCCTTGTTGCTGCTCAGCAGGGAATGAGAATTGGAAGAAAAAATAACATCCCTCCTCTGGTGTCCTTTAATCGGGAATCCCAAAACGGTTCATTCCATTTCTCATTCCCTGCCTATCGCACCAGCAAGAAAAATTAAGTTGCCAAAAGACTACAAAAAGAGTACTCTTTACAAAAAAAGAAGAACTGGTGGAACCGCCCCCCCGCCCCCCCCCCCATCCCCCACTGTCCGGCAGTGTAGAACATACCCCCCCCCTGGTAGTTCATTTCCTCAGGTCTCTGACCCTTCCACTCGCCTCCAGCAGGGGTCGCGCGAGGCCGCTGCCGCGCAGCAGATGCCTCGCCGCTCCCGCACTGCCGGGGGCACAGCCCAGGTCCGGCTCCCCTGACCGAGACGCTGGTTCGTCTCCAAAAGGAACCGCGCGGATCGACTGAAAAGGGGGACAGCTTGAACTTCGAAAACATATAGACATATAAACATGTGTGTGTGTATATGTATATATACATATATATATATATATATATATATATTCTTGTTCAGCTAAAAAGGTAAGTGACTCTATGTTTCAACTGAGAAGGTTCATATTTGAACATGTTGGAGTAACCTTGTTTGTGCCCCTGCAAATGAAGCAAAAGACAAACAAAACCACACGTTGTTGGTGGATGTTGCTTTTGGGCAAGGACACCCCTTTTTGGAATCCGTCCATTGATTTGCATGGGGAAGCACCTTGGGAGGTAGAGAACATGAAGTGATTATTCACAAGGAGCGGGCTTCGAAGCTGCTTCTGTTTGTCAAACAACCCAGAGCCTTTGTTTGGTCGGCACTTCTTTGCGGTTGTCGATAGTGTGGATTGGAGAGTTTGGGTGATCTGAAATCTGAAATGATATCTCTCTGTGGGTGTTGTTGATGCTTGTGGATTGCTTTTCTGGGTGATGGCCCTTCTACCTGAAGGCGAGGTCGCTTTGCGGAAAGGCTCTCTGTCCTCTTGCATGCTCAAGCGAGCGGATGGATTCATATCCATCCTGGAAACCATGCTTTGTTCAACACTTGAACGCCCAAACCTCTCAGGCCAGGCACAGTGGGATGCTGGATTCTGCCTAGTCTGCCTTTGACCGTTGGTGCGAAAGGCTTTCCACAACGGGGCGCGCAAAATCAGAGAAACACACACAAACAGTTTAACAGATCAGGTCTTACAAAATGAGGGTGTGCAGGACCACAGGACATGGTTTCTCGCAAACACCTTGCAAGAACATGATCGGCCCTCCTTTTTTCAGCTTCGCAACTTACAGGGTGCGGCACCTTTAGTTGCCTAGCGGGCCTCCGGGTACCTGGCATGCTTCACATCTTGGAACCCCGAGTGCCCAAAAAATAACATGTGTGAAAGACATGGGTTCCATTGGCTCACCCACAAGCCGAACAAGAATCTAGCGCCGATGTGTCCCACGGCGCATGCCGGCCTATGAAAATGCCTGGACAGTCACAAAGGGCACAGTACTTACAGGGCATCACTTGTGACCAACCGATGTTCTTGTAGTTGGGTTCCGCTTGAAAACCTATTTGAACGGCCCAATTGTCGGGCATAACAACATGCTGAAAATGGGGCCGCTGCCAACAAACCCACACACCCACTTGGGCCTGTCTACCCGTTTTCTGTTTCTTTAAGACACGCCCCAAACACATCCCAAGTCACTCGAGTCACTCCCGAGCGGCCGTGGCCCAGCGGCAGCAGCCCGCTGACGCTGCCCAACTGCCGCAACGGAGAGGCCTCCCTGAGGTCTGCGTCGCTTTTCACCTCGAGAGATCCAAATGAGCGCGTCTCTTTGTGGACAGGGACCCCCTGTTTTTGTTGCTTTAAAAGAAAACCAAAAGGAAAATCACCATTTGAGTGGGTCTTTAAACAAAAAAGACACACCCACATGGGTGTCACCCTCTTTTTTTGGAGTTGGTAACCTTTTTGAGGAAAAGTGCTTTTTGGGGCTGTCGCTTTGGGTTGTTTTTCATGGAAACGCGAAGGGACGACCCCCATTTGAAAGGTCGATATCTGTCCTCAAGGATAAAGATAGATGTGTTGTTTGGCAAAGTCGGGGGGTGTTTGAAAGCCACGTCTGCAGGAGATAGAAACTGTCCCTCGAGATAGAAACCTTTCTGTGGGAAAGTCGGGAGGTGTTGAAATCCAGTGTGTCCTCCGAAAAGGAAAGTAGTTAAATTGTCCAATTTCGGAAGCACGCAGGTCCGACAGTTTCTATCTTGGGAAAGCCCTGCAGAGAGTTCATTTTGCATTCGCAGGTGACACTCCTCGAATACTACTCTCCTGTTCCGAGCATTGATCTTTGAGAGCGCATGCAGGTCCGAGAGTTTGCATCTTTGTGGGAGCCTGAGAGTCACTTGCGAACGCAGAATGGATTCACCAAGATAGAACCTCTCGGACCGGCGTGCGCTCCAAAAACAGACGTCTCGGATACAACTGCCCTCTTCGGAGCATTGATTCTTGGGAGCGCGCGCAAGTCAAAGCTCAGAGAAAAATCCACCCTCTGCAGCCCCGCGTGGAGATCAAAACTGCTGTAGTGCTGGTACCTTCCGGCGCAAAGGCTTCTATCTCCGTGCGGGGTGCTTTCGGGGAGCGCGCGACGTTTCTATCTTTCCGAGGACGCCTTAAATGCAAGCATGATTGGGTACACTGGTTGATGGGGAAACAGACAATTGGCCAAAAGCTCACAAGCATAGAGATCGTATCGCAGAACTGCTAGATGACTTGTTGCAACGTTGTTGCCTTTCTTACTCCTGCACGATTGTTCTTCAAATGTTCATCTCTTTCCAATTGTCTTGTTCTGTTGTTTTGCTACGGTAATTTGATCTAGCCATCCTCTTCTCTCGAATCAAAAGGATCACACTGCAGTGCGTTTGAATACTGCCACAACAGACACTGCGACCTATACGTGTGTGTGTGTGTGTGCCAACAATTCCCGCTCTGGTTGTGCTTCAGCAAATGGCGTGTTCAAAAAGAAGAAGAAACGCATATGAGTTGGATATATGGTCTTCCCTTCCATTTCTCTGAACTTTCTCAATATTGCCCAGTACCGTAGTTTGTTGCATACGAATGCTCTGTGTTCTTCTGCGAATCGTCGTGCTTTGATGTCATTCAGATACGCTTTACTGGCTGGTGCCTGTGACTTGCTTAGTTGCTCCTTTGTTTGTGGCAAGGCGGCCATCCACGTCCTGCGCATTTGCTCCCTGCAAAACAGTTTCAGTTCCAGATGGCTTCCTGCTTTTTTGGCTGTATCTTTTGGTGCTGCAAACCAAAGAGAAACCACCTATTGCGAAAGGGTCCAAACTGAAAACCGCTCAAGCGCCAGCCACGTCACATGGGCGGAGCAGGATGCCAGCAGAAGGACCTGGTCCACCTGGCTTGGAGTTGCGTTGGGGCGGACAAAGAAAACCAAAACCCGCCTTCCTAAAAGGTCCGGGGGAAAAAACAAGTAGAGACAAGAGCATTGGCATATTCAGGAGTAGTCCCGGTTGCTCGGTCGGGCCGCTGAAAGATAACAGTGTTACTAGACAGAGCATGGTAGGCTACTTGGGGGAGGTTCGTCCCACGGAGTGGTGGCCAGGTAAGTAGGCCATAGATATTGAAGAAGGTACTCAGAATGATGATCCCAGGTTTGATCTTGGTAAAATCCTTCGAGTTAAGTCGGATAAGGCGCGAATCAAGCCACCGCGGAAAAGTGGAAAAGCTTTGTTTTATTTTGCAAACACCGCGAATGGCCTCCAGCCACTTTTGGTTTGTATTCACAATGGCATGAGAGTATACAAAATGTCCCCGAACTACGGTTTACCTGTGTTGCAAACGGACAAATGCTGGCAGCAAACCTTATAAACCAGCTTGAAAAATGGTGAAATATTTGGGTCACGCACATGTTGTGAAACACGCGAATGCCCCAAGTTGGTAGAAATCATGGTGCCAACAACAGTGGAGTAAGCGTACTTGTCTTGTACAATCAGGGTCAGTGATGATGACGGCAGCTCAGTGTCCACAGTCAAAATCATCTCAGCTGTGTCTAAGTGTGAAAAGCAAAAACCTGGCAGCAACAGGAGCTGGTTACTGACAAGCCTGCCACTTGGCAGAGAGCCATGACTCATCCCGGTTTCCTCTTCACAAAAGCCTGGGAACGGGTCACCGGAGCTCCCCTTGAAACGTTGCAATGCGCTGGAAGGTTCCGTGAACTGCCACTTTTGGAGGTGCAAACAAGAGAAAGGAAGGCCTCAGGGAGCCCATTCACCGCACGAATGGATGGCTCAGATTCGCTATTGGCCGCTCGGAGTTTCTCCGAGATTCTAATTGACGATCATCGAGTAAGGGACCTTCACATCTCGCGCCGGCCCCAAGGCCGTAAAGAGAAGTCGACCATGTTGCCTTTTGGGAGACCGGAGACCGCCACTCTCTTGCCGTTTTTGCCCCAAACGTAAAAGCGCCACACCCAATTGGAAGACGAGCGTCCATTGGGGTTGCGGGTCTCTTTTTGCGGTCAAAGCAAATGGTCTGGGCCTAGAGCCCGCCAAGCCGCTCCCACGGAGTGAGCCCAATGCAGCAGCTCCTGAAAAGCAAGACGAGCACGCGGCCCAACCATGGAGCTGTTGCTTCGTATCTGTCACGAAGAAAGCAGAAAGTAAACCTCCTGAAGGGGAGCATGGTCATGAGGCAAGAATAGGAATCTGCGTGGGCCGCTCCCACACAATACTGCCCAGTACGGATTGCTTAGTTAATCCACATCCCACCATGGAAAGTTGGCCACTGGAGCCTACTTCTCATTCTCAAAAAATGCTGGCTTCCGGGGCAAGAGCCTGATTCTCATTTCCTCTCCGGAGCCTCACCCCCGTAGGCCCCAAACCTAACTGGTCTCCCAAGCTGAAGCAACCAGTGCACGACCCTCCGAAGGTGGCCCATTGCTCCATAGTGTTGTTCTGCCTAAAATGATGGGCACAAGGCCTTCACGAAATGGTTGGTTGGCAATGCTTGGTGGAAGCCTGCCAAGATGAGGCCGACAGGCCATTGACTTTTTGACACGCAGATTCCCACAACCCCATGTCCCAAAATTGGCCCCCCCCTGATGGATGCGTTTAAGGGAAGCCGAAGGCACAACTGCAAACAGACCCATTTTGTGTTGTTGTGCGTTTTGGCTTGTCCGCTGTGCAAAGGGAAACAAGTTGCATGTGCTTTCATTGACCACTCACCTTTTCTCTCTGATGTGCTTCATGAAATGAATTGGCATGATGCTCCCCCCAAAGCCAGCCCTCCTACTTTACCCTCAAAGCAATCCCTCCTTCGAAACCCCCAAATCTTCTTTCTCATTTGGGCTGGGAAAAAACGAAGAAAAGAAACAAACGGAGGGAAGCCCAACAAAACCAGGGTGGGAAACCCAACAAAACCGGAGAAACTCCAGTAAACCTTAGAAAAACCCGACAAAACCGGATAAACCCAACACATGGCCTAGGGAAAACCCAGAAAAAAGAGAGACCCCCCCACCTTGGCCAGTGCCCAGCGCTTGCCCTCCACCGGCCCCGAGCGCAGCTGCAGCACCGAGAGGGTCACACCGGGCGCCTGTGGTCACCCGGCGACGGGGGGAGGCGCTTCCCGTTTGGTTTGAAGCGTTGCGATTTCGTCGCATTTTGTTTACGCAGGAGTAGGTAAACAAAATATTTGTGTGTTGGGGGGAGGGGCTGTTTGTGTGTGTGTGTGTGTGCTGTTGTTTGTTTTGCTTTGGGGGGGGGGGGTGGAGGGGGGGGGGTTGGAAGGGGGGTGGAGAGGTTGGGATTGTCTCCCATGCCCTACCTAAACCAACAGTAGACTGCTAGATGAGCTTTGAACTATTCGATCTGCACACATGTTGAGAAAACTAATTTCTAGCTTGCCGACCTCCTGTTACTGTATAGTGGGGGGTTCAAACAAAAATGTGTTTTGAACCGCACAGAACAGAAAATGGAGGGGGGAGGGGCAAAGTTGCGGAGTTGGGATGATGGGTCGGGGTTTCTAGGAAAGAATCGGTCGTGATGAAGAGGAGGCTAGCAACAGCCAAATCCATGCTTATGACCTTCTGAAGTGGCAGCCTCCGAGCACTGCCTAAGTAACGGGTCCAAATGCACCAACAACTTCTTGTTTTGGGCAGGGCGGTTCCCAAACAGAACGAAAGGCGTCGTTGTACAAGAAGGCTCTGGAGGGCTTTGTCTGTGTCCTGTAGGGTTCAGTTTGTTAGGGAGCCTCAAAATCATCATGGGAGGTACCGCCCTTGTCCAAAACAGTGCAAGTCGATCAACCACAAGCATGGATCCCTCAAGGAATCCTCCCGATGGGCCGAGACCAAGGGCGACCATCCCCATCAAAAAGTGACCGGGTGTCCAATGGCACGCTTGATCCAAGGCTCTTGGTATAACTCCGCAGCCGTGGTGATTGGGCCCTCGCCAAAGGCACAGACCATTGCCACCGGCAGCAAATGCCGCGTCTCTACCTGAATGCAAAGAAATTCGGGGTGGGGCACGAAACCTACCCTTCCACCAACTAACATGGAACCTGACGTTCGGGACCCGGTCCCTTTAGGAAAATGGTCCAAACCAGGACCATCGGAGTCCATGTTAAGGAGGGTACGTTCAGAGCTCGAGGACTCAAGCAACGAGGTGACATGTATCGAATCTGTCGAGCCCATGGTCCCAGAATTGGTCGTACTTTCGTCACCTGTTGGCTTTTTCAGGTTGAATTGCAACGTGACGGTGGTGAATCTTCCAAAAGTAATACCACTCTTCGCGGATGTTTGAGAGAGCTGACTGCTCCAATCACCACCTTGTCATTGACAACTTTCATTTTGACCATGTCCACCATGGGTCAATGGTGCGACCATTCACCGGCGACCAAATCCAACTTGAACCGCGGGAAGAACAAGAAACCAGCGGAGGGCCATCCCGGTGCGGAGCTGAGATGCCAAACAAAAAGAAGGCATTTCTGGGAGGATACCTGGAAGATCAATATCCTCTTGAAGGGAGTTGTGAGGTGCCATGTTGGTGGGAGGGAGGGAACCTGAATTGTCAAGGACAAAGACAAAAACATACACCCTCTGCACTGGGTGTTGTCCTCCGGGCGCACAGCACTGAGTGTGAACGGGAGCCAATAGATTCTATAGATGCTTTACAAGGCTGTGGGAATCGTTCAACTGGAAGGCCTTCCCAACGGCGAATTCTTCCCAACGGCGAATTCTTCAGCGAAAGGGAGGGGAACACTTCGCTGGTGTCACAGAAGTGGGAAGCAGCCCATTTCCATGAAATGCTCGGATGTTGAACCTACGGTAAGTAGATGATTGACCCCAAAAAACCATCTCCTATGGTTTCTGTTAAGGGATTCCCCTTCCAGCTCATTCCCAACACCCGGAATGTCACTTCTTGCCAGCGCGCAATCGCAACGCGCTGGAGCCCGTAGGTCGTGATCAACGCGTCGACGCACAGCTCCCCCAGGTTTGCAATCCCTGAGGGCCAACATCGTCTAACCCATGGGTCTCTCTTGGAAAATTGAGAGCCTGAAACCAGCGGAGTCGATCGATGCTGAATCAAACAAGGACACCCATGAACTATTTCAATGATTGCGTTTGCGTACCCTGCAAACTCGTGGCGGCGAACTGCATAACTCTTATTAGCCTTAAATAGCCCGTGCATAGAGATATATATATATATATATATATATTTATATATGCCAAATAGGGCGGCATGGTCAGCAGGGAGCAGGGGTAGCCCCAAAACGACGTACAAACAAATATCGCCGTTGGTGCCGATGCCAAAAATGAATTTGGGGTGAAGGCAAGAGATTACGCACCAAAAGCCGTGAACGATGGGTGGAAAGCAAGAAGCAAGCCATGCTTCTTTGCTTGGCCAAGCAGATGCGCGTGTGATTTCATTACGCATATGTGAGGCTCCAAAGACCCTTGCAAACAAGCATAGCGTATAGGGACCTCGCATCGAGCCGATTCGCACTTGTCACGTGACAACCCAAGGTGCGCGCCGGGACGCTGGGCAATCTCTGCGATGCCCGCACCAACAACGTCGGAGCTTATGAAGAGCGCTAGAACCATCATAACATACTTGGGTATGTATATACCAACACATACATAGATACATGCACATGAATTCAGAAATGTACAAATGCTTGTACACACTTGCATACATGTAAATAGAAGAACATACCATACATGCCCACTGTGAATCATTGGACGTCGTGGCCATGTGGGTGGCTTCCCTTCGCATGCCTCAAAGAAAGACAAGCCCTGGTGGCTCAAATTGAGCGCTCTTGACCCAAGTTAAAAAAGGCAAATGTCACCTCTTAACAGAAAGGGAACCCCAGATTTTGGACACAGCCCAAGAGGGAAATGGAAAACGTCACCCAACAAAAAGGGAACCCCAGTTTGGACGCAGAAGTGTTAAAGGAAACCTTTGGCCAATCAAATGGTGGGCCTCCTGCTCCAGGCAACACCAGCAGGTGGCCCCGCAGATCCAGCGGAGCGGAGGTGGGCGTCTTGGATCGAAGGCACGGGCGAACCATCCCCACAATGGTCGGTGTCCTTTTCGCTTCGCCTCAAAACCAGCCGAAGAGGGGCTGGGAGCAACAACAGCAAGCCACCACAAAATATGTGGCGGGTGGCGTTGCAACAGTACAGAAATGTATATACCCTAGCTGAGACTTAGATCGGCAGAGGTGTATTGTCAGAGGGTTTGTGTGCCACTTTGAAGGAATCCCAAATCATTACTTATATCCAATCAGCCGCAAATGAGCCTCTTGGTGATCGAGTATTCTGTTGAGATCTTTTGTCGCTTCAACAAGTGACTTCAAACAAGACTGTAGACCCTCCACAACACGCTTGGTGTCTCGCACTCCTTGCTTAGCCGAGTCTCCACCTTCATCACGGCGGACATCCCCTGCAATAAGAATTTCCGCGGCGTTTTACGATGGTTGACAAGAAGAAAGTAAAGCCTTAGCTCCAAAGTGCTGCCTGAAGAGTTGCAAATCGCTCGACTGAGGGATTGACAGATTCGTGGCTTCTACAGGACCACGCTTGCCTCATTTCATGTGCGCATCGGACTTCAGAGAACGCCAATCGTGGATCCAGAATGGCAACGGAGATGGTGCCTATCCATGGAGGATTTGGCTGGCTCTGTGTACGTGTGTCACAACTCGACCCTTTGGCGCGTGTTAGGAGGAAATCTAGATAAACGTCCCTGGGATGAAATTTGAAGAGAGGCTTTCAGGATCCGACTCGAGTCGGCCCCAATGGACCAGACCATCCTCTGAGTTGGCGCGGCCACTTGAAATGCAACATCTGGGAGCTTTGTGACAAGGGACCACCAAAACAACTGGCTTCCTCCCACTTCGAGACACCATCCAAAAGCAAACTCCCGATTTTTGGACTCCCCCCGCTTCTCGCATCCCCCTTTCGAGGTAGTGGGAAGCGCAACACATGGCACCACGCCAAGTTTCATTTGAGTTCTCGAAATGCAGAAACCCCCGAAATAGGATTCGGTTGCAAAAAATGGGAGATACAAAGAAAAGACACCCATTTCGGTCTAGTCAGCACCCCCCCCTGCCCCGCCAATACGGGAGGTACCCACAAGAATACAAGATACTAAATGCATGAGGTTTTGCACTCGGGAGGATTCTAGCAAACCTTGCTTGGGCCTGGCTCAGTTTGTCTTGCTCTGCTTGAGACATGCCTGCACCTGCCCCCTGCACATCATGATGCACTGGCAACACACACCCCTTTTTACGCAGCAACAGCCTATGCATCACTGGCCCCTCGTGTGCCAGTTCTGAAACGCCAAGATTGTGCCTACCGCTAGCTCCTACAGTATAACTTGTGTCTCGAGTCGTAGCACGAACGACCAAGCTGGAGTGCTCCCAAAACGGTCAACCACAACACATGAGTGACAAAAGGCACTTAAGATCCGTCGTAAAAGCAAGCAAAGCCGGCCAATGTCTGCATACAAACCTGCTTCCCTCTACACTCCTTAAATAGCAGCCCAGTTTTAATCGACCCAAATCATGGTGCTTCAACCACCAAAAGGTTCCCAAAGAAACATGTCCTTTATGCCAACTCGACAGTCCATGTCTCTTGGAAGATCAGGTTTAGCAAATCGTTACATCCGCTCGCAGAGCTGACAAAGAGCTTTGACCTGGGAAAAAGGGCGCCGCGTCCATCTCACTTGGCTCTGCCTGCGCACCGCTTGCCTCAGGCAGCCTGGGACGTAGATGCATAGTTTCCTGGCACGAAACCTGTGGCTCGAGGAAGTCTCGTGAACCCAAACCACATGTCACGCAGCTCAACGGCAACTTGAATGAACCCAAACCATTCACCCAACTTTTGGGTACTGCGTATCCTTGAAGAAAAGAAGATGAATGGCAAGTCATTCACCCAAGTGCTACCGTATTGTGGCTTGATCCGAAGCCTTCATTCGCTCTGCTGAAAATTGATCGGTCATGCCTACGCCTTCAAAACTTTGAGGCTCCTCTTGTTTGGTAGCTGATCTTGCGGAAACCCCTCCATTAAAAGTGAATGGGAAACCCCACCTTACTGAGAACCTCTTGCAGTGAGTAGGACCTTACACCCTTGCAAGCAGCAGCAAACGCGGCGTCCTCCAGAAGATTTCCTGGTGCGGTTTTGCAGTTGTGCAGCAAAGGCTGATTGACAGGGGATATTCAAGTTAGAGGTGGATTCCCCAAATAGTGCGAAGGAGCAAGGAAAATCCGTTAATTTGCCATTGTTTTATGGTGGCTTTGAGAATCCAATGGGATTCTCAAAGAAAACTGCAAGCCCCGGCGTAAGGCATGCCCCGTGAGCAAGCAGTTTACTCATAGGCCGCATTTAAGTCATACGGGTACTCTTCCTCAGGCGCCGCCATCTGAAAAGGCCTGTCACATCGGCTACAGGATTTGCTGGACTTGAAGCCCTTGAACATCTCTTTTGATGACGAGATGATAGCTCGAAGCTCGACGAATCGTGCAAAGGGGCTGGCAGCCTCAAGAAAAAAGATCTCGGGATCCCAACTGCATGTTCATGAGATGACCCAGCCTTCTGGATTGGGCTAAAACGGCCATTCTCGTGGAGCGATAAAGCACCAAGTACATTGAAGGGAGCCCCAGGCTGACAGGGCTTACCGGTTGCGATGGTCGCTCTCTCTATTCGACCCTGAGCAGGTTTCCCAAACTGAACTCCCAATTTGTCCTTGCGATATCTGCCACCCCTTGTATGAGCTTCTCTCCCCAAACTCTGCTTTGCCCGTACAAGGACTCAAGCTCCAGGTCCTTGAATAGGACCAGCCCTGAGTCGAGTCAGTTTTGGGGAATGCCTTTGTCCTGAGGAGGTGTCCCTACATGGAAACTGAAAAGAAGCCACCTGTATCCCATCTGCTCGCGACCCAATGCCGCCAGGCCGCGGAGACGCGTCCGCGCAGCTCCTGGGCTCCACCTGCAGCTGAAGCATCTCGAAAAAAAGTGTGGTGCAAGCAAGAAAGGGGCCCGAGTTGGCCTTTGAGAAGTACAGTAAAGGTGCGATCCGGGTTGAGGTTGCCTGGGGGGTACAAGGAGCGGAAGTACTCATCATGAAGGGCACTTGCTTGGGAATTCATGAATTTTGTTTGCTGAATTGCAGCAAGGTGCCCGGTACTTTTCCCCTTTCAATCTAGAATGATTTCACGCCTCGGACATGGAATGCTCCAGCGTTGTCTAAAAATCGGGGAAGTGTGCCAAAATGGGTAGATTCCCGAAAACACTCCCAAAAAAAGGCCCACACCAGCCGCACTGTGAGATTCCTCAAAAACCTTGCGTTTCCGCATTGAAAGGCGCAGCCACACGCTGGTGGTTGGAATCCCAGGAAAGGAGCCTGAAACGCGGGGATCGGCTCCACGTGCCTGGTACGAGTAAGGTTGGAATCCGCCCAATCGATGCTTTCCACGCAATTGTTGTGACTCTTGGTGTTTCTTGTGGTGTCCCAACCGCAAAATTAATGACAGTGGCAAGCCGCAAGGAATGTGGGTCTTTCCCCTTACAAACCAGGCCAAACAGGTGGCAATGATAGGAGGGCGCGCTCCACGTTCCCGTGCCAGGGACGACTCCCTCAAACCTGACTCACCGTTTGCGTGATGGCGTCGCTCGCCAAGGCAGAAGAGAGATTATGATCCATGCTCATGACTCAAAGGCAGAACTACAGTCCGACATAAGAGGCAAACAATGATCTTGGGGCGCCTTTATCATCCCAAGAATTGCAAAAGTTTCTGGGGATGAGTTGCAATCCGCCGGCGCCCCCGGCTCCCAGGTACACGAGGAAGCCCTTCGCCAGGAAGAAGCCTACCACGATCTACCGGTGCCCATCAAATTGCAAACACATCGGAGGTCTCTCAAAACACGGGGAGCTCTCAGAGTGTCCCTGTGGTTTCCCCTACTCCCAAACGGGCGATCAAGAAAAACACCCATATGTTGCGCACGTGTCGGAAGAGACAGGTTCGGCGAAAACTGTTCATCGCAAACTGCCCGAGTGAGACCAAAAGCTGGCAAGTTCAAATCTCCGCCTCAAAAGGAAAACGATAACCACAAGCCAAACAAGCAACTCCAAACCAAAGTCCAGTCCGAGCCAATCGAAACCCCAACCAAGTCACTTCCCCTCAGATTTTGATCCCTGCCTGCAACCCCTGAGACCAGCACCCAGAAGACGCCGCCCCATCTGCGCAGATCGCCAAAACCGACGCGGGCTCCCAAGGGATCCAATCCGTCAACTCCCCGTCCACGTGTTGTCCCCTCATTTCAGTATGGAAAAAACCCAAACTCCACCGAAATGAAGAAAACTCACCCCTCAACCCCCCCCCCTTTTTCCGGTGAGGGGACGAAGTCCAAAAGGAGATAGACCATCAGTCTCCTAGCTTGCGGAAGGGTGGAACACTCCAAGCTCTCCTTCTCGTGCCAAGAAGTTTGCAATACATCAAGCAGTGTGCTCGAAAAAACGCAATGTTTTCCTCTGCGTCATGATGGTGTCAACTGGCCGAATCGCGGCCAAAGCTATATATCGCCGCGCCTGCCCAATTCCATGTAGCCATAGGAGATGCCATTTCCGCTCATCACCTGTCCAAGCCAAATCTTCCCAACTGTCCATCTCTTTCGCTTCATTGACGGCATGATGCAAAATGCAACGGGAAGGTTGGCAGATCATTTGACCAAATGGTGAATATTGCGCACGCGGGTCCCGGCCCTTTGGTCGCCGACCTCCGGGTCTGACTCCGGACTTGTCTTGCCCGGAATTGGTCCTCTCAGGTTTGGCCCTTTAGCTTTAGACACCAACAGAGGGATTCCGAATCCCTATGGGGTGTCCATTTGGACGAGTGTTCGACTCTGGGGCCGCTGCGAAGCACAGGATGAGCCCGGCCATCGAGAGTGAGGGCAGCGCAGTGGAACTGTTCACCTGAGCGAAGCGTTTCGGTCCTAAAACCCGGCTGGATTGAAATCCAAGATGCGTAAAAAGGTGTCAGGCATAAACCACTCCAATCCCATCCCAGGTCAAAATGCCAAGCACTTGGGGTGCTCACCTCGTGCCCCAAGTCTAAACAGGACAGGAGTGCGCCTCTTTGAGCAAACTTAAAGCAAGCACTTTGCACATGGAAAGATATGGACCCCCAAAGGACGAGGACATTGCGCATCCAAACCTGCGAGGTTTCGTGCCGAAACTGGCAAACGCGTGCCGGTTGCCCGGCCGGCTCCCGATTTCCGATGGAAGGAACTGAGAAGTGGACGGTCACCGAACCGCTGTAGTAAAACCTCAGACCGAGCTTGGCCCCGCATGGAATCGAGCTGGTCGCACTAGTATCGGATTGGCGTTCTGAAGGTGGTGGAACTTTGTTTCGGACCCCCTTAAAAGGCAGCAATGAACAGCAGGGTCCAAAAGAGCCCGAAACATCTCTCCAAGGTCCCGGCAAATGGCACATCATCTCAAAGCCAGCATAATAAGCAAACAGGATGCAGCCTGGCTGACAGCGTTTCACAAAGCTGATGGATCATGGGTTTAAGTCCGTGCAGCATAACAAAACATGGAACCATCTGGGAAATGGCGTGTTTCCGCGTGCTTGATGTTTAAACACCTTGTTTAAAGCAGTCAACACATCACCCTCTCGAAAGGCCAGTTGAAAGCGGGTCACCCCTTGGTGATTGATGGAGAAAACAAAACTTTAGACCCATATATATATATATATAATTATGTAAGACATGTATATAAGATATGCATACAAATATATATATATATATACATATATATACATATATATATATACACACATGTGTGTATATATCTATCTATCAGAAACCCTTTCGCTTGGCCCGTCTCCCCCGCCTGCGAGCACCGTCCAGCCGGCCAGCAGCTGGGCTGCGAGGCCGGCGCACTGGGCCAGAGAGAGCGATCGGCGAGCGGTGGCAACCCCGGTCTCGGGTTTTTTTAAGGAAACCACCGGTGGACGGTTTCATTCCCAGTCCTCCAAACAAGGAACCCGCATTTGACATATTCTTGTCCCCGAAACACAGGCTTGCTCCGAACTGCTTGAAGGAAGCCACCAGTTGGAATGTTGAGGGTCATTCCATTTCTCAGTGCCAGAGAAGCACCAAGCAAAGGTCCAGAGTGACGCTGGCAAAAAGGGAACCATTTCGTTTTGGAGTCGATCATTAGGTGGGAAGCTACCAAACAAAATCCTTGGACGATTCTGGGGGTCGCTTCAAAGAAACTGGCACAAGAAGATTTGAACTGCGGGCTCCTTGCTCTTTGGAGGCTCGCAGAAACCCTGTGTTTCGGGGCCAAGGTTAGCATATCTCCGAGGAAATCTGAGATGTGGTAGCCTAAAAAGGACCACATGTGGCATGCGCCGTAGAAAGCGTGCTGCTGGAAATATTGCCCACGAGTGCAACTACGAGACCAAGAGTCTTGTGAGATGTGTGTGTGTGTGTTGTGTGTCTTGACTTGAACTAGCAAAGGCATCTACTGTAGCTTGGCCGGATCGGGGCTATCAACGCGCCTGCAGAGTCAGCGATGTGGCAAACCACTGCCATGGCAGCTTCGGGCCTCGGCTCCATTCGTCCACCCGCCACATGCGCGTGACGTGACGACTTGTTCACTGGGAATCCCCTTAACCACCTGAGTTGCATCGCACATCCAGTTTTCCCCATGTTTGGCTCCGCAAAAGGAAACAAGAAAGATTTGCCGAATGGGTGGATTCTGGCTGAAGACCGAAAAGCTTGATTGCACAGTGCCCCTTTCTGGTTCTGAGACGGAGGCTGCAAGCCATCCGGGACCAAGTCGCAATCGTTCGACTGATGGGGACCCAATAAATTTGAAATACTAGCACATGACATGGTGGCCGAGCTGAACTCATTGGAGAGGCCTTGGGAAAACCTCAAACTTCATTTTGCTCGCTGGTTGCTAAAAAACAAAACATTCCTCGCAAATTGGCTCCGGGTATGAGCAGTTCCAGGTTGGGCACACAGCTCTGCATTCCACAAACCGACCCGGAATTCGGCCCTTGGAAAGGCGGTTCGATCCATGGCTTCTTTGCTCCACTGGGTCCGGAGCCGCGGCATTCCAAGCCAAAGGTGACGATGCCGCGGTTCTTTGAAGGAACCCCGGTCTTTGTTTTTTCTCCGTCGCCGGTTTCTCCGTCGCCGGTGCAGCCTTGCCCCAAGGCGGCCAGATTAAAAAGGCACACAGCACCAGGCTGTGAAGTGGTCCGCATCTCGCCCCAGAAGAGACCAGACTATGAATCGACAAGAGGTCCATGCCCATACAGGGGTCCTGAAATGCACCCTTTAAACACCACCTCGCCAAAGTGAATGTGAATTAAGATTGGCCCAAGGGAAATCAGGACCCCTGTCCTATCGCACTCTGATGCCATTCGGCCTAGAATGACCTCCGTCGCAAACTGCCATCCGGACCTTCGAACGAGCCATATGAGTCATAACCAAATCCAGGCTACCCCAAAAGGCAAGGTGCAAAAGTAAAATTGGCTGTTGGGATCGCCTCCCCCACTTACCTTCTACGTGGGTGTTGATTGCTCATGTGCCGCTCGTGGGTCCGGTGGCTTGCTTGCAGTGTGTTGTGCATGTCATGCAAGACGGCGTCACGGCCCAGACCCTTTTGTTGTCAAGAGGGATGAGGTGCCAAAGTCGTTCTGTTTTGTTCATCCATACCATCCATATCTCTGGGTGAATATAGTACTTCACCAACCTGAAACAAGAAACCCCCAAGTTAAGAAACCTTGATCTCAGAGGTCGCAAATCTCATGAGTGTCGCTCAGGTTTTCCAACAATGCCTTACCAAGTGGATCAGGCCGCGCGCACAGTGGCCGAAGCTATGAAAGCGCATCTCTCAGCAGTGCGTGGGCCGTTTGTGGCATCAACCCAGTTGCAACCATGGTTTCCTCATTATAAGCTCCGCGAAAAAGGTGCGTCCAAACCACATGTTGCCCACACTGAATCTGAGCGCTTGATTAATTCGCAAATGCAGTGCGGATGTCGCGTCTGCAGAGACACGGGGCCGCCTTCCGACAATGCTTCTGTTACTACCAAATCTCAGGAGGATGAACACTACAAGCAGCTGAGACGTGGAAGTTGGCAATCCTGCTTAAAAGGCAAGCCGTGAAAGGATGTCCTATGAGGTAAACACCTCTGCATCGCTCAGACACGCGCATAGATTCGCGCGGGCTTCTGCGGTGTGCTTGGGCTGTCCTGCCGAAAGCATGCATCACCCGATCGAAGCAGACTCGACTCTGCTCGTAGCAACCCGTTTGTTCGCCCCGAAGCGTTGTAAAGAACAACCTCTGCAAGGATGTTGCTACGTACAATTGTCCTATATGTCTGTGACCAGGAAATACAACGTACCTACGGGACGATGTCCTGCAACGCCAGGCTGGAAATAGGACCTCCCAGATTGTGGGTCCCTAAAAAATAGTAAAAGGAGAATTCAAAGAATTATTCTTTCTACTATTTTTTCTCCAACAGCAACACAACAAACAGAAAACAAAATCCAGAACAACAAGCAAACAAAATAAATAATCACAACCAGCAACAAAAATATTTAATCACAGCATGCAACATTAAATAATTCAAACAAGCATACCAACAAAACAGCAACACTCTAAATCATCAAAGAACCCAAACTCAAAAACACACATCAACAAAAATCAAAGCAACATACTAACAAAAAATATCACAAGAGCATCAAACAAAACAAAAACAAACAGTCAAAGCACGAAAAAATTAAAGAAGCATGCCAAGTCTAAACAACGCACTTTGAAAGAGATAAGCAAATTAGGAAAATATAATAATTCAATCTTTACAAACGATAAATATATTACAATTATAACATATAATAGTTTACATGTGATAATCATAGTATGGTTTTAATCAAAGTCATTAGTATTTAAATATTCCTTTGTAATCTTTGGTATTTGTTTAAAGTTCTGTTTATTATTTTTAAATGGATATTTTCTATCAGCAAAATCATAAATGCAAAAACCTATGCTCCAGTTTCCTAAAACACTTTTAATATCATTTATCACATCACCATACATTAATTTACCTATTATATTGTTCTTCTGTTCATCCTGAATATAATCACATATTTTATCAATTATGATTTTCAATTCTTGGTTTCTTTGTTTTATGTAGTTTAAAAATGTTTCCTTGCAATCATTTTCAATTTTATTATTTGATAAATCATACTCATCAATAAATTTAAATATCATTTTATTATTAAATTCTTCAATTGGTCTTGTTGTTCCAGTTTTGCCACCATAACTAACTTCATATGATTGTTCGTAGTAATATTTAATATCATTATAAAATTTTAAAATATATGTTTCGTTATCTTGCAGTATATATTTTTTCACTTTTTCATATGTAGGAAATGTATTTAACTTTATAAAACAATATGTTCTTAATGATGAGTCATTATTTAGAAATGTATTTTCTTCAAATTTCAATTTGTATTTATCATAAATACATTGTCTCAATGTTGAATGTAAATTACTTTTATGTAAAACTTGCTTTGCATTTCTTAATAAAAAACATTTCTCGCATTCAACATAATTAAAATCACAAATGTTTTTAACAATCGGAATAGGTAAATTTAACTTAGTTAGTCTAGTTTTTTCATTTATTAGTTTACATTTACAACTACTGATAATGTCATTAACTTTTATTTTATTCAAAAAGTCATTAATAATTTCTTCTTGCTCTTTTTTAGTAAATTCAACCATTTCTATTATAATATATTAAGTCAATATTTCTTTAAGTCGTTTTCAAAGAATTTATTTTATAATGGCCGTAAGCAAGTGAGTTTACACTATCTATCCAATATTTTTTGTTTTCATAACTACTAAGAGCAATTTTTTTAGTTGTTATACTAAAAATTCTGTGGTTTTTACTTCTAATACTATTAAATGACTTATGTATAACCTCATTAGTTTTTAAAACCGTCTCAAACTCTTCATATTTCATTTGACGTCTTACTGTGCCTTTTGCTATGCCCTTACATTTCTTATATTTTTTATCATCACCATAAACTGAGTAAGCATAGCATTTAGGACGAAGAGCTATAAACCCTGTTATTATTTTACTTTTTAATTCATCCTTAAATTTCCCTAATACTTTCTTGTTATTATCATCATAACATTTATGTTCCTTAGGATAATCTGAAAAATCTAATTCTTTTTTAATTGTATTCAAGGTCTTCATAAATGTCATTGGTTTTAGTATGAAATACAAAACTATCAGTATCAGTATATACCATTTTAATATTATCTCCATATTTAGGCTTCATAACGTCATAATAAAATTTATACATGTGTTGCTTACTCAAATCTAAAATACTCATCCCAATAAATATAGGTTTGTCTAGTTTCAACTTTGTTTTTTGCTTTTCAACTCCAACCAAATTTTCATTAATGATATGACTATGTTTGAAGTTAGGATTACTTACACACTTCATATATCTAGTTTCATCACTCACAACTTCAAAGTCTAAATGTTTTCGCTTATCCTCCATTGTTTTTCCAAATATGGCATTGTTCATCAATTTGTAAACATCTTTCTCAAAATCATTTCTAGCATTCTTCCTCTTGTCAGTGTTAAACTCAATGTAAGGTTTTAAAACTTCTTTTTGTTCAAATTTAATTGCTCTATGAATTTTCTTAAGTTTTAATCCTTGCTTCAAATAAAATTGCAAGGTTCTTATATGGATTACATATTTTTCTTTATCATTTAAATTCAATACTAATTTATTTGTTTTCTCATCCGTAGGTTTTTTATGATTTAAAAATTCATAAATTTCAATTTGTTTATCTGACAGCATGTTGGCTTTAACATTCATAACCTCAGGTGCCATTGGATAGTCATTGTGTAAATCGTGTAATTCTTTAGGATATTCTAAATCCACTTCTAGAATATATCCAATATTATTATTTTTGTAATTAATAATGTCTTCTTCTTTTAATGTATCATCCCATTTTAGATTTTTATATGGCAGTTTTTGTATCATGCTTAACCCATACAAATTATTAGCATCAAAATAGTTAATATAACTACTTTCTTTATTTTTATCATATTCTTCTCCCATGTATTTATTATTTGCTTCAACTTTTTTAGTAGAAACCATACACATTCCTCCTCTAAGTCCTGCTTCTATCATTTCATACATTTCTTGGTCATATATTAAATCAATCTCTACACCAGTCATTTTAAGCATAGCATCAAAAGCAAAGTTAGGCAATGTATAATAATAAGCAGGGTCCAATCCATAATATTTCATACATACATCTCTAAAATTTTCGAAAATGTCAGTCAATAATAATACATCAGTTTTCAAATATAAATCATGGTATTCACCCATATTCTTAATGTCGAAATGCTTCCATATAATTTTTGCCCTTTCATAGTCGTTAACACTTATACCTTCTTCACTCAACTGACTATAAAAATCATCCTTACTCGGTAATTGCTCATCATCAAATTTATCAAATGAATTCATGTAGTCATAAGGATAAACGCCTTTATCAGTTAATAAATCTAGACATTTCTCACTCTTAATCAAATCATT